AAAAAAGTTTTGATGGCAAGTTGCACAATGGCGTGACAAGTAATATTTCGTCATTCGTTTAATGATTACAAAGCACACGATACACAACGCTTTGCACTAAAAATTTTTGCAAAAAGGATCTAGTGCTTGCACACTTCAATGAGCGTCGTGTATTTTTTTCAACAAACTTCGTGTTAACTTTCAGTATATATGATTATTAAATCAATTTATAATATAAATTTATTTCAGTGCTGACATATTTTTTATTGTTTTTTCATTCTACATATATATTTGTTTGTGTAAATTTGTACAATTTAGTGGACTGGCTGAGCTTCATATGGGAGGGCGTTTATTTTGCTCTTCCATATGAGACTCAGGCACTTTCATGTGAATTGTGTTTATATTTGTGTTTTTTTATATTTAAATTGTAAATTTATATATCGTCGCTTGGGTAAAAGATTGTCGTAAGTTAATTTCGGCAGATTGTGGGAAATCGCGTTTGAAGTTTGGAATGCAATTTCTTAAAAACGCGAAGATAAATTTTCTCAAAAGTCTATGAAAATATTACTAGTTCACAAAATTCTTAAATTATTTAATTTTTAATAACAATAAATTAATTATTTTTAATAATTTGTCCACAATACGACAAAGTATGATCAACATTTGTACTAAATTAACGACACTTTTTACTCAATATCTCGGAAACAAAAGGAGTTATCCAAAAACTGATGACACCAATCGAAAGACCTTATTTCAAAATATATAACTGCTTCTAGAACTAAATATCGTCAAAATTGCGCTTACGACATTCTTTTACCCAGGCGACGATATGTGCCTATACTTCAGGGCAAAACAACAACAAATGTGCTACAAGTGCAAAAAACGTCAATTCTCATGTAAAACTTTAGGATTACCGTTAATTTCTTCATGATCCAATAATCGGATCTAAACCAAATTAGGATGGGACCACCTCTGGGGAACCACCTTTCCTTTAAAAAAGACCTATAGGAATCGGTTATGCTGTAACATATGTACGTAGAAAAAAAATTTTTCCAACGAATGCTTAGATAACCTCCTCCTTTTTTGAAGTCGGTTACAAATAATTCAAATTACGACGAAGTCGCATTTTAAGAATTGATAAGTTTAAGATCAATTGGAGAATCACATTGGAGTTCAAGTTGAAAGCTAGCATTTTCTAAACTTGAGAAACCGCCCAATTTTCATACGAAGAAAAATGTCCTTTTTGTTGAGATCGCTATAATCCTTCACTTGAGGTACTGTTGAGAAAAAACGTTGGAGATTTGAAAAATACCTTAGTTCTCAACTTAACCTAAAGTTGAGCTCAAACCTAATTGTTTGTTGGGTACACACAAAGGNGGGGGGGGGGGGGGGGGACCCTGCAGACCATTTATTCAGAGTATTCTAAATGGTAGAGAAATTTTAAAGAATTCGTAAATATCTCATCCGATTTTTTGCCAAATTTTCTAAAATGAAATAAATTGTGCACACTTCGATCATTTTAGGAAATTTTGAAGAAAATCAGTAAAACAATGAAAGTAATGCTGCTACATATATGATGAATTTCTTGCAGAATTTTCTTTAATTATCGTACAGAAATTTCTTTACGAGCTCGTGTCAATCTCTTCATATAATTTCTTTTGAAAATTCGTAAATAAATCGTTGCACAAATGAGATACTCCTAAAGATTTCTTTTGGTTTACAGGGGACCTATGTTTTTTCTGGCCCGGCCCGGCACGAGCGTATGTTACAAAAATTTGTAACTAATAAAAAATTCAAAATTCAATAAAAAATAAATAAAAATTAACTCCCACATCATTTTGGCTGCATTTCTTTATTCATTCTGAACGTTTGGAATAAACTTTTTTGTTTATTTATTCTTTAGAACGTTCCTGATGATATGTTGACGTATATTTCAAACGCATTCTGTTTATTCCGGCTGTGAAATGGGATTATCCGGAATGTATAAAGAAACGCAGCCTTTGTGAACCAAATTAAAAATATTAGTCACGACTTTTTGCATTTCAGGTGACGATATGCACATACATATGTATTCGTAAACACGCACGAATATGCACGTAGAAAAAATTAGTAAGGCCCGGCCTGGAATGGCCTGGAACGACACAACCCGATTAGGTCTGGATTGTCTGGAATCGAACCAAAACTATTAATTTTAACGAAAAAATTAAGCATATATGTTATAACCATTATTTTTTTACTCAAGGAAAGTTCCAAGATGAATATCTTGTTCTGAGAATTAGACGCACATGCATAATAACCATATTTTACAGACGATTTTCTAAGTTTTAGTAAAGTAAATAGACGCCTGTAATGTTTTTGTTATGTATATCTGTTCTTCGCCTATTTATCAAATAGACCGAATAAAATCTGCGCTATTTTGGATTTTAATTATACCCGAGCGCACTTGTACAGGGTATTAGGTGCGTTCGTTTAAAATCTCCAACAGAAACCAACCAACTGCCAAATTCCGGCGAAATGTCATCTGTTCGCTCACAAGAGAGAAATATCCAAAATAGTACGCGAACAGAAAATTTGCAGAAACTTGCAAGTTAGACGAACAGCTGATATAATTTTTGTTTACATTCAAAAGTGTAAAATTTAAAACGTTCGAAAACTCATTACAAAGTGGTATCCTGGTACAGTTTATTGATAAAACAAATAACTACTTACTTCTTACAAGTTTAATTAGTCGCATTTTGTAATTTTTAACTTCCAAATCATCAAATTCAATTTTGTGATTTGCGTAAATGCCAACCAGCTGTTTTTGATCAGCTGTTTTCCTGTTGGCAAATTGCTGTTGGCAAAAATTTTTCCAACAGAAACCAGCAGCTTCCCCTCAAAATGAAATGTCACTTTGCTCTCTCAATTTCCCCTACTTTGCAAGTTTTTTGCGTACGCGAACGCAAAAACTTGTAAGTTTTGGTTAAACATGAACAATTAACAGCTACGCGAACGAACCTATTATAACTTTGTTCGCATAACGGCTGTTTGTAACAGCCTAAAGAAATCGGGATAGATATAGACAAATGTTTACATAAATGATCGGATCGTGCCCGTGTACACGATAACTCGACCACAATTTGAGATATCTCAACGAAATTTGGTATATAGGCTGCCCTTTATCCAAGGTAGGTTGCTATTGAAAATCGGCGAAATCGGACTGTAACCACGCCCCCTTCTCATATAACAGTATTTTCGTAAAAATGCAAAAACTATGATATTTCAGTAAATATTTGATCCAAACTGATGAAAATTAGTATGTGAAGTATAATTTTGGTACAAAATAATATTATTATGAAATTTGTGGAAAAGGGGCGTGACCCCGCTACTGTATCTTAGTAGCCGCATAGCCAATCCTTACAAAACTCGGTACGAGCCTCTGCTAGACTCCAGCTAAGAAATTTGTGGAAAATCATTCAAATCGGACAATAGCCGCGCCCACCTCCCATATAGCTGCAATCTACAGAAACACGAAAACTGCGATAAATCAGTAACTATTGACGCTAAATGACCCAAAATCGATTATTGCGATGACCACTGAGCAAAAAATTTGGTTATTATAAGTTTTTGGATTTTGGGCGTGGCGCCGCCCACTTATGACACATAAATGTGTATCTCGGTAAGCAATTTATCAATTTTTACAACTTGGTGTATTTAATAGTCTTAGTACGAAAAACATTTCGTTGAAAATTACTCAAATCGGACTAAAATTGCTCCGGCTTCCCATATAAGGGCAATTTTCTGATGTACGAAAAATCCGATATTTCGATATCTGAGGATGTTGATTTACTCCAAGTTATTACTTACAGCCATCTCTCAACAATAATAAGACTATTATAGACATTTAGGTAGTTTAAAGAAAGTTGGAACGACAATAGTTGATACCTGCGCAGGGTATATTAAATTCGGTTTTGCCCGAACTTCTCCTTCTTTACTTGTTTTTTGCAAGTTTTTAACCGCTATAATGGGTCCTGCAGCCGCTGTGGTGCAGTGGTTATAAGTGCGCATTGCCTCTCCGCAGGGCCTGGGATCGAGCCCAGTTTTCCGATTATATATTAAACTCTATTTAAAGCACTCTATTCATCGGCGTAGCCAGAATGAAAAAGAAAGGAAAGCAATGGTAGGGGGGGGCTCGACCCTATTAAGCTGGCATTTCAGGGTACTATTTTATATATATATAAGGAAAATTTGAAAGTTAGGGGGGCTCGAGCACCCCCCTGCCCCCACCTGGCTACGCCCATGACTCTATTAGTTCCTTGTCGGCCGCTGTGGTGTAGTGCAGTGCGCGCTTCGACTCCGCAACGCCTGGGTTCAATCCCTGGTCAAAGCAACATCGCAAAAAATATAGCAAAAAGGTTTTTTTATTAAGAGCGGTCGTCCCTCGGCAGGCACGAGTGTAGTGGAAGAGAAGCTCGGCCAAACACTAACATATGTGTAAGCGCCATTTTATTATTATGTATTATTATTAGTTCCTTCCGATTCTCAAAAGACATGACAAAACACGTCAACTTCGCCACACACGCACAACGGATCGAAAGTTTATAGAAACTTTTGTCAACTTTCGATCGGTTCGCAAACCACGCCGCACTCGTACTAAGCTTTCGAAATTTCAACCGATCTTTTCCATTTCTTGCCAGCTTGTAGCCTGCTTTAGATCGTGCCAACTGATTTGGTTTTACGTATCAGCGAGTTTACGTTCTCAACTTTTTTCAGGAAAAAACGTGTGCTGTTTTAAAGAAGGAAAGCAATGGTAATAAAAACGAATGAGGATGGATGCCGCTTAATGAAGAATCACCTATTTAATATGTCAAAAAGTATAAATTAATAACAAAAAATTGATTGAACGAACGTTATTTATATCTTAGAACGAAGTCGTAAGAACTGTACAACGGTTGTCGCTTCTTATTGATTCACGTACTTATGTCTTTGCAGTTGTTTTTCAAGTATGGCAGCTTGTTACTTTAATTGTGATCTTGTGAGGTCTTCTTCTTCTCAGCCGGCATTTCAGTCAGCTGTTTTGCTGTCAAATGAGAGTTGTTGATTTTTCCATAAATTTGTTTGCAGGATTGAAAACGATTTTTTCTTTGATTCTCCACTTAAATAAGAAATAAATACTATATATTTATGACGGGTGATAGCGAAATGAAAAACGAAAGCGCCGAAGACGCTGTAGATAATGGAGTAATCGATGTAACACACTATCGAAAGTTGGTAAAAATCTTCATCGACATGGTAAGCGAGCTTCGTGAGAGCATATAAAAACCAAATTTTAATATTTATGTATTTCTTTCCAATTATAGCGCCGATACCAGACGGCACTCTTCTGGGCTGAGAAGGTCTGTGTGCTTAGCCAGAATGATCCCAAGGATGTTTATTGCCAGGCGCATTGCATGTTTTTGCTAAAGGAATATCATCGCGCTGCACATCTCATACGACTTTTCGAACTGGAGAAATCGCACGTATCCAGCTATAACTTGTTGCTGGAAAGCTTATACGAAGCAAAAGAGCTCAATGAAGCTGTGAGTGTTATAAACACCATAGACATCGAGTTTTTGGCATCATCTTTAATAAGTCAGCCTTTAGACAGTGCGGCATTGGGCTGTCACTCTACGCTCAATGCAGAGGAGACGAATAAAAATGTAAATATGCTTGCAATTGAAATTTTAGTAAGTTTATCCATAGCTTCATTCTGGTTCTCTTTATAGGAAGTTATGGCATCAATAAGTTTTATAAAAGGCAAAATCTACGAGGCATTAGATAATCGTGGCTTAGCCATGGATTACTATGTGCAAGCGCTACATAAATCCGCATATTGCTTTGAGGCTCTCGAAGCGTTAGTACAGCATGAAATGCTGATGGCTTGGGAAGGTGAGACCTTATTTGCTTGTAAGATTTAAGGAAATAGTAAAAAAAAATATTTCTAGAAAAAGAATTAATGCAACATTTGCCGCTTGTCCAGCACTCGAGTGAAATGGATGCCAAGTTCATTAAAAAATTATATGAGTCAAAGCTGAAAAAGTATTACGAATCCATTGATCCAGTAAGTAGTATAACAACAACTACGTATTGTTTGGGGACTTACAATACAGTTTTTTTTTTAATAGTCGACTGGGGATCAGACTATCAAAGACTTAAACGAGAAAATTAAAAAAACTCAAGCGTCCGATGCGCATCTGCACAAGAATGTGCTCTCAAAGTATATGGCTCCACAGATTATGTCTCCTGCAAACAAGTAAATACAAAATTTTTTATAAAGTACTTGAATTTGTCAAAAATAATGCTATTATTATTTTCTTAAGGGTGCTTGCGGATCTCAAGAACTCGCCCTTTTCTTTACAAATAAGCCTCACACGCGCTTCATCTCTCATTAATGAGTCAAATCGTTCGCATTTCGAAACGCCAGGAAGAGACCGTACAAAAGAGGCAGATAACAAGAATATTTTGCCACTTTTTGTTTGTTTAAGTCGCATACAAAAAAGCACTGATCTCATGGCCGCTGAAGCGGAGAAGTTATTCTATGATTTCGAGTATAAGAAGAGCTTCAAAATCTTGCAAGAGTAGGTTGAAAATGCTTTAAAATATGTACATACTACAGTTAGGATAATATACTTAAATTTTGTGTTCACTTTGTAGATTACTTAAAGCGGATCCATATCATAATACTGGCTTAACACTGCAAATTGGATGCTTAGTCGAATTCGGTGATTATAACAGTGAGTTAAAATACTGTTTTAGTTATATTTAACCTTTATTCTTAATATTATTTTTATAAACTAAGGTACAGTATGATTTTCAAATTTTAGAAGCTCTAATTTGTTTGAATTTGTTATGATGGAATGCTTTGTCCATATTTTCATAGAGCTCTTCTATGTCGCTCACAAACTAGTCGATCGTTATCCTGATAAAGCCATATCATGGTATGCAGTTGGTTGCTACTACGATTTGATTGGCAAGAGTGATCCGGCGCGCAGATACCTTTCCAAAGCGACTTCACTTGATCGCCTGTATGGGCCCGCATGGTTAGCTTATGGACATTCCTTTGCCAAAGAGAATGAGCATGATCAGGTTTTGTATCATTACTTCATTAAAAAAAATTACATCGAATAAAAATTGAAACCCAAATTTGCAGGCTATGGCTGCATATTTCAAAGCAACACAACTGATGCGTGGTTGTCATCTACCACTTCTCTATATTGGTGTCGAATGTGGACTTACGAAAAATCTCGAACTGGCAGAAAAGTTTTTCTTTCAAGCTATGTCTATAGCGCCATTAGACGTCTTTGTGCTGCATGAATTGGGAGTTATCAAATATGAATATGAATAGTAAGTTACCTGTTGTGTAGAATTATAAATACTGAAGAAATAATGCTACTTTCTTTGGAATAATTGACAATAGCTACAAAAGTGCTGAAGAAGTATTTTTACGTACTGCTGAAATTGTTAGAGCACGCGCTAAAGAAAATAAAGAGGAACTCTCTGCGCGTTGGGAACCCTTATTCAATAATCTTGGCCATTGTTGTCGCAAGCGAAAGAAGTATAAAGAAGCTTTAACCTATCACCAATATGTAAGTACATAGTATTAAGCGAATTTCCTCACAGACAAGCCTCATTAAAATACCGATAAGCTCGAAACTTACTAAATTGGCAAAATCTTTATGAAACAAGTTTTTAGTTTAGAGGATTTCTTTAAGTGTTTACCGAAAACTCCCAATTAATTTTAATTAATAAATTATTAACCATAATTTTCAATTACCTTACAGGCACTTTTGCTTAAGCCTCAAAGTTCACAAACCTATACAGCAATGGGTTTTGTGCACGCACTCATGGGTAACCTTGAGGAAGCTATTATTTACTTCCATAAGAGTTTGGCTATTAATCGTGATTGCATTGTTACTACAACTATATTGAAAACATGCATAGAAGATCTTATGAATGAAGAAACCGTAATAGATGAGATATGTGGTAGAGATTTTAGCGGACTCACATCATCATCGACAAAGTCAGCATCAAAACGTCTACCAACCATTGAAGAGTCACCAGCAAAATTCAATTGCATGAAGTTGAAATTTGACGAAGAGGATGTTACCACAAACCCGCCAGATAAGTCTGATAGTAATGTTGTAATGGATATCAGTATGGATTTGTAGTCAATATTAGAATTAAAAAAAAAATCAATATTATTATTTAGAGTATACGAAAAGTAATATTTTTTGGGAAATAGGCCAATACCAATAATATTACTAAGTATGAGCCCGTCTAAAAATATATACATACAATAGATTATAATTAAGGCTAATTCCCCGATAATCGGCACTATGTGACCTAGGTTACCTTATGTTTTCACCTAATAAGTGTAAGAGTAAATATATGTATATCCAACTTACAAAATTAGAACCCAAATTTCATTATTTTATTCATAGTGTAATAAGTGGCAAGTGGCTGACTATTGGGAACAGTCATTGCTTGAGCTACTCTGCTCCTTTGTCCAACTGCCAGGCCCCTTGCTCACTTTGGTGAATACCACTACTATGATTTTTACTAACAACACAGATCAATAAACCGATTACCGATGCTTAAAGGTTTTGTAGAATTTGAACCTGGACTACAATATTATTCAATTGAATTTAACTTTTTTTTAAATAAATTTTGATTCTTAGCATACTTTAGTAAAACAACGAGAAAATAACAAAATCTTAAAATTGTCCTTTTTAGCTTCGAAGTTAAAAAATTTGGTCCCACAAAACTAAAAATTATATGTATATATATTTTTGAAATCCAAAAAATAACTTTTTTATTAGTTGTCCAATAGATTCACAATTTACCAGCTCGATAAAATTCACTGTGAACTCTAATTGGCAGGAGTGGGAATTCCTCGCGACTGAATTGCAGAACCTACCTGATTTTGTAAGTGCTGGACCTTTTGGTAACAATCACTAATATACCCATTTGAATTTGAATGAATATCCACTTTTTCGTATACATTATTGTTAGGGATGTGCCGGGTATCCGGTAGATATCCGGAATCCGGCTTATCCGGTCTGTGATAACAGAAAAACGGCTTCGATTACAATATAATCAATTTAAAAATCTAGTTCAGAAATTTATTTTTGCTTTGCATTTTTATAATCTACTTTAACGTTAGGTAACATTAGTAATTAAAGTAAACAATTTTAATATTTTTAATTAGGAAAAAAAGCACTTCCGAATTATCAGGTAAAAATCTATTTCTATTTTCAACATAATTGCCAAATTAACACAAGACAAGAGGATCCTGTCTGGGTATAAGGGGTAGCGGATAATATTTCTCAATTTCTAAATCGCTGCATTTTTTTTGTACGGTCGCTGCCTTGTGTATCCATCGTTGGCCTATCCACATCACAACAAAAACTGGAATCGGCATCAGAGCCGCGAAAGCTTTATGAGACAGAGCCTTAACATATCTACACCGTCTTGCAATAAAGTTTACAAAAAAACCGCCATTATCAATTTAAATTTTACTCTGTAGGGATTAATAACAGCCAATTTCACGAAAGCATTTTAAGTAAAAAATTATTTTAATTTTTTTAATATATGGAAATGGACAGAAAATAAAAACTCATTTTCTATTTAAATGTAAGTATGAAAATGTTGCGTTTTGCTGAAAAAATTGTTTCAAAAATCGTAAAAAATAGGTTAATGCATTTATTCTTGCAACATATGAAGAAAATTATATAGATTTTAATATGTATGTATGTATATGTACATATATGTAAATAGATATAAAATCCATCAAAACCACAAAAAAAAAATCATTGATGTCGGTCCAGTAGTTTTGGGAGCTTAATATAGTATGCAGTTAGGCTGCTCCAAAAATACACAGGAAAATCAGTNTGTACATATATGTAAATAGATATAAAATCCATCAAAACCACAAAAAAAAATCATTGATGTCGGTCCAGTAGTTTTGGGAGCTTAATATAGTATGCAGTTAGGCTGCTCCAAAAATACACAGGAAAATCAACTTTTTGGAAATTTCTATCCCCAGAACTGAAGAATTAAAAAAAAGGAGATCCATTTTTTTATTTTGATATCGGTTAAGATTTAACTGTCCCGCCCTTGAGGTCTTCTATATACATACTTTATATGGAGAAAAGATTTTTATAAATATTTAAAGTTAAATGTGTATATATTTTTTGTTTTGAAGATCTCTGAAGAAAACATATCCCATCCGATCAAAAAATATTTTAATTAAACGATTTTATAGCAATGATATGAAAACATTTATTTTTGCCATATAAGATATATGTTACACTTCCAAGCCCCGGCGACATGGTTCAATATTAACCGACTTCAACATAAAAAATACAGGTCCCCGTTTTCGAAATTCTTCATTCCTGAAGGGTAGCTGAACAAAAAAAAAAAAAACGTTGGACCACCCTAATGTAAGTATGTAGTATGCTTTTAAATCGGAAACTAACGTTAAACATTTTTGTTTCCACTATAGGGATACTCATAAAATTCCATGGATTCTTAGAACTTTTTAACACGAAGAATACCGAAAAGACTAAAAAATACCGAAATATTATAGAAAATAAAACACTTGAAAATCCCAAAATTAACTCCCCGAAAAAGCCTACAAAAGTCGCTACGTAAGGCCAGGTAGAAGGGCCACCTCCGTAGGTGAAAGCGCTCTTAGACACGGATCAAGCTATAAATTGCGTTGCCCTCAAGAGCCAAGTTTAAACGCTCGAACAGGCTGGGTTAAATGCGCAGTTTACGTGATCTAAGTTTAAACTTGCACTGAAAAACTGATCCGAAGAAAGAAGAGGAAAGTCATAGGCAAGTCGGAAGGGTGGTCGAGGGTAGAAACAGAGCGGGAGGTCACGCTGGTCACGAAGCTCCTCAAGCGGCTTACATATGTATATCCATTCCCAAAAGCTCATTGGGAGTGTAGAAAATGCTACCCAAGGCTTACAAAGGCAGCGCACCAGAACAGCAGGTATTGAGATGATTCCACCTTATCCAAGCAGCTGGCGCAGTAAGGGTCATCACGCAATGACCAGTTAGAACTCCCACCAGTAGCGACACGTGCAACTAGCTAAGACCTAGGCGATTCCTGGACCGCATCCGGTCTTCACGTGGCCAGAAAACTTTAGCCACTTTGCTTTGCAAGGTCTTCGCCCAGCTGACCAAAAGCCAATCTGTTCAAAAGTAGACCAAAAGAGTTGAAGGGAGCACCCAGACTTACTCTATCCGGGAGTTCTTCCTCAAAGGTTCCCTGCCTTGCCAGCTCATCAGCCATGAAGTTTCCTGCGATTTTGCTGTGACTTTGAATCTAAATAAGATTGATAGCGTAATAAGCCGATGCGGTCGATAAGGAGGTCAAACCATCCTTCACAGTTCCCGAACGAACCATCAACTGATGTCTGCTTTAAGGATACTTCTGCTTGGAAAACGCTATAGTGATCCCGTAGCCTAAATTTTACGTTAATGGAGAATTCTTCGCGGAATATAACCGCACCAACCTTCCCATTAAGCTTCGATCCATGCGGAAAAAAGTTAACTGGGCCCTTATTCCCAGTCCTCTCTATCCATTGGGATCCAGAACCGACGTGCAGTGGTCTGTCTGAGTCGGTACGAACTCGAAACTTTTTAGAATACTCTCCACTGCTTGAGGCGAACTTAAAGCTGACCCCACTAAGCCTTACTGCTCGCGTGCAGCTGCAGCTTTGCCCGCCAAATCTATGGGCACATTAATTTAGCAATATCACTAAGCGCCGAAGTAGGTGTGCTTAGAAGTGCTCCACTGGTCCCAATAATGGCAGCTCTTTGGACTCTTTCTAGCTGTTTGACGATGAAGCCAATGAACCCCTTTCGGCGAGAGATCCCAGCGCTTACCAATAACCCCTCTACAACAATTTAAGGCTATTGTTGTCTTCTTAACTCATTCCCCTATTTAAGCAGAAAAACCTGCTCTCCAGGATCAAGCCCAACTACTTCACCCTGTCAGAGAGCCTTAACGAAAGATCGCCCATTGAGAGAAGACGCAAACAGGTAATTTATATCTTCTAGTAAAAAGAACNACCCCTCTACAACAATTTAAGGCTATTGTTGTCTTCTTAACTCATTCCCCAACTACTTCACCCTGTCAGAGAGCCTTAACGGAAGATCGCCCATTGAGAGAAGACGCAAACAGGTAATTTATATCTTCTAGTAAAAAGAACAAACTTCATTTGCTAGAGTTCACACCCAGCGCAGCCCAAAAGATACGCAGAGAGACTTATCGGCCTAAAGCTCCTGGCTGATACCTGATGGAATTTTCCTGCCTTGTTAATAAAAATAACTCTGGCTATCCTCCAAAGCTTCAGAAAATAACCACTAGTAAGGCAGCTCGCGAAGATAGGCATCAGTCAGAGGCACAAAACATCCGCAGCCTTCTGCAGTTGAGCTGATGATATTCAGCCGTCCGGGCCCGGAGCCATAAACTGCTCGGATGAGTCAAGAGCCGAAAGAAGTCGGTCGTCGATTAAAATTTCGTAGTGGATTGTTAGTTAACTCTGAGCTTCGAAACGGATCCTTCCAGGATCCGGGTTGCTCAGAAAGTGAACATCGAGGAGCATACGAAGGGACTCCTCGCTGCTCAGAGCCCCGTTTCGATGCTCGTCTTCGATGTATTCTTAGAGAGGACACGCATTAATCTCGAGGTTACCTGACTACCATCCACGCTTTTACAGAACGACCTCCTGGAATTTATTTTTTTCTAATCTCTTATATAACCCAAGTACAATCTTATACAGTGCCCAATAGGAGACTCAATTACTCCTCCCGGCCTTGTTGAAAAGGCCCATGCTCGAGGCCTTAAGGTCAGAGAGCTCCACTGACCGCAAGAGCGGGTTGCTCTTTCATTTGTGGTGACTAAGGAGACAAGGGATTTCAATTGCGCTTTAAGACGATGTTGTGAACTCACCAATTGATCCGTCGACTGAACTTTCAGCTAAGATTTCGCCCCTCGCAGGTGCAACCGGAAGTATATTCAGCAGGCTTCTGAAATATACATCGGTTCCAGTTGGTTCTTCTCAGACACCTGAAAGAATATTTTTTAGGCTGCCCTTCGTTCAAAAAGGAGTGGTCCAGAGTGATATCACAGGCCTCTCCCCTTCAAGCCGTTACAAAAGTAGCGCCGTTGCCCATAAACCTAATTAGTATAAAATTGAAGGGCAACTCACCCATAATATTAATTCGATGTTCCCCAAATCGTTTTGTGGGAGTTAGCATTACACCCAATAACGACACAGGCCGGCCTGCATCTAGCTTTTTCTACAGCGTTCCTCAGCAACAACAAAGGTGCTCCACCTCGTTCTGATGCGCACCATAAGTGGAGATCAACCAGGTTCACCGTCACATTGTCTCCATCGCTGAAAAGGGGCACATAATCGAGGTTCACCATTGTTCAGGTACACCACCAGTTTGTAGTCCCAATACCACAAACCTTATTGCAGCTGCTCAACCACGACTCTTGGTTCAGGACTACAGCCATTCCACCTTGCTCAAGGTGGATTAAAGGGTGGGCGGACGCCGCCTTAAGGGGCCGAAGATTGATCAGAAGAATATCCATCCCCTAACACCACCTCCAGCACTCTTTCGCTCTCACTATAAGAGGCAAGGAGCCTCTCTTCCACCGCTCGAGGCAGGACCAGCAGTACTGTAAATTTCCGAAGGAGCGGATTCAACCTTCATGCTTACGGAGGCATCCTCCGGCTCGGGCGTTTCATTACCAACCAACGAAACAGACGCGCCATTCATTTTGGAGTCGGTCTGTTAGACTTCCGTACGTGACTACTAGGGATGTTAATTTTTTCGCTTTTTACGATCTCCGTATTTTCGGGCTGTTGTTATCACAATTCCGGGATCCCGGGATTGGTCTCGGTATTTAGATATTCATTAGTTTTCAACAACTTAAATCGAAAAAATTGCTTCTATATTGTTTGAGAAGCTCCCCTACCATAAAATAAATAATAAATAATTGGATTTGAAACCTGCTTATTTATTTAAAGTGGCGTTTTTTTATTTTTTCTCTCTGACGTCAGGATTTAATTTAAAGGATTTTGTAATTTCAAAGATATGACTCATTCCAAAAATTCAATGCAATTTAGAATAAAAATATGAGTACCAAATGAAAGAGGAAATTTTGTTAGAATCAAAAAAAAAATAAAATAAGTAAATTTTTAAGCTGGTAAAGTTAGAAGGACGGAGTTCGAGGAGGTTATCGAGTTTATATAGGTCCTTAACATATAGTTTTTTTCAAAAACAAATATTGCGAAACTTCAAGGATAAAATTTTAAAAGGATATTTTCAATAATTACCAGTCCTTATGCACCAAAAAATTGGATCTGTTTAAATTCTTCAGAATTTTCTCTTTAATTTTATACCCATACTTCTTCTGTAAACATATTTCATTGAATTTTTCAAATCACATTACTGACGTCAAGTGAAATACTATTTTACTAATTTTACTATATCGACTGCTGAGTGGAAGATCGACCTACCTCGGCAGCCAGTTCGAAAACGTCCTATCTCAAAAAACTTTTCAAAAACGTCCTATTTCAGAATTTGGTTGAAGAACGCCCTATTTCAGAATTCGTTTCAAAAACGCCCTATATCAGGACATTTTCAATACATATTGAAAAAAATATTCCGACGAACTGATAACCTTCTCCTTTTTGTGAAGTCGGTTAAAAAATCATGTGCATATGTATGAATAAAAATCATGTTCACATCATATGCACATAAGCATGCATTGTATTACCAATGACCTATCAGCACCGTTTCCACTCTAAATCACAGCTCATTGCCAAGTATAATTTTTCGAAAACTCAACCCCGCTTATCGGCCATTTAAACGCCAAATTCAAAGCCGACATCTTAAAAACATAAAAACCACATTAAAGTTTTATTCATTCACCTTAATATATGTACATAGATTTTTAAACTGAATATGTATTCATATCGTCGCCCGCCAAGAATAACCAAAATATTTGAATAACGCTAATACTGGCTGACGTTGAACAAATACAAATTTGTTGAAGCTTTTGCCGGTTTTTTCACGACTAACAGAGCGGCTGAACCAACAAAACCGCGCCATGTGCGTTGAGAAGGTCTTAGGCGAAACGCCGATAAGTTTTGGGTTATCATTAGAGCAAAAAAGAAAGGTAGACCTACTACTTCTAAGACACATACATACATATGTACATACTTATATTTATGCTACACATTTGTTCATGCGAATATTTGATAAATTTATGAGAGATAAGAGCTGAAGTAGCGTATTTCTTGAAGAAAAGTGATTGTATCGTGGGAGCAGCAATGCTTAGTGGGAGGAACTTTACGATTGGGTCAACATTAGCAACGTATATAAAGCCAGGTATTGCAATAGAAGGGGTACAGTTCAAAACTAACGTTCTCAAGTGCGATCAACAGTGCGGGTCTCAAAACAAACCATTCGTCTCAGCATAATTTTCCAATTTTGATCAACCGAAATACCCATCTACATATTCAGACGACTACAATGACTCTGATTGCAAAAGCACTATTCCTTACAATTGCTCTTTTCGCCCACTGCTTGCTACAGCTCAATGCATCACCACTCGTTGATATCCTTAGCTACCAGGATGATGACGACACGGAGGTGCTCGAAATCGATTTGAATAGCATCGACGAACTAATGAATGAGCACGAACTTGACAAGGACATTATAGATTTGAGTTTTTATGGCAGTGCACTCTTTGGTACACCAGATAACGAAGTCACCGCTGAATTGGTAGCTAATTATACACCCGAAGCTTCAACAGTGAATCCTGAAGAGCTGGGCTCCTACCTGGAGGGTGACATACTTGTGCCCAGCACAAATGTGCTCACCAAAAATGGCATTACCACGCAAAGTTCACGCTGGCCCAATGCAGTGGTGCCCTTCGAAATACGCGGTCGTTTCGGTGCGCGTGACATGGCTACCATTGAGCATGCGATCGAGGAATATCATCGTCGTACCTGCATACGATTCGTGCCGCGTAGCAGTGAGCAAGATTACATATCGATTGTGAGCGGCAATTCGGGTTGTTGGTCGTCGGTGGGGCGTGTAGGCGGCAAACAGGAGGTAAATCTGCAGACACCCGGTTGTCTCAGCAAACCGGGCACAGCAATGCACGAGCTTATGCACGCCTTGGGATTCTTACATGAACAGAACCGGCAAGAGCGCGACTCTTATGTGAATATACAGATACAGAATGTACAGCCATCAGCGGCGCCGAACTTCGAGAAGGCACAGAGCACCATCGCCTTTGGTGTGCCCTATGATTATGGCAGTGTGATGCATTATTCGGCGAATGCTTTCTCACGTAACGGACGCCCAACTATAGTAGCTGTGGTAAGTATGCATTTTTTATTTTTTAATTCAAAAGAACAACAACATTTTTCGTCATAACAGCTCAAAGTAATTTGAACACATATTTAAATTAAAAATCGGTTTGTATCCTGATAAGGAATTCATAAATTGATTGTCTAGGATACGTACCTAGCTTTAGGCTTCCTAAATTGAAAGAGCTTTCATATACGAGTTTCTAACTCTAAATGGTTCGATGGCAAAAGAACTAAAACTCATTAATATCTGTCTCTTCAACATCGGAATGCATTTCGATTACATATTGTACATTCATATGTACGTACATTAGGGTGTACCAGAAATTTTCTTTTGCGAAATTAGATATGCATACCAAAATATTTTTCTTTTGACCTGAGTAACATTTGTATATGTACATACGGTGACGAGAATTTAAATAGGGAACAGATATTTTAGTAAAATTTGGCTATTTTTTCTTTGTTTTAAATGTATTTTTTTTTTAATTCAGCTCACTAGCTAAAAAATCATGTACATCAAAATTTCAAACTTTATAGAAAATTTATAAAAATTTGTCCATTTTTTTTGGGTACGCAGTTTTGTAACCCAACAAATTTTAATATGATCAAGTGCAAGTTTGAAGTACCTCGGACTTACCGTTTGGCAATTTTTTGTTCGCGCATTTTCCTCCATACAAAGTTTGTTCGTAAATTGTTTTGTATGGAGAAAATGAGCAACAAATTCCACAAAAAATTGCCAAACATCAAAGGTAAGTCCTTGCTATTTAAAATTGGCACCTTTATGAACTTAAATTGAATGGGCTACAAAACTGCATACTCAGAATATTTCTAAGAAATCTAATTAAAAAGCTCAAATTTCCTAATTTTTGTACAATGTTTGAAATTTTAACTTACATACTTGGTTTTTATTAGATAACGAGCTACGCTTTCATAAAATAATGACAAACATTAAATAAACGAATAGGAAATAGCTAAAGAACATTTTCGCTCCTGTATAGTTATAGTATGGTATTTTAATTTTAATTTAAATTTTTTTATTTTTTTATAAAAATATAGTTCACTCTATAAAAAAACCATATAAATTCTTGTTTAAAAGCTTGTACAAATTTTTTAAAAATTCATCCAACGTCCATGAAGATTTCACAAGCTTCATTAAATTTTTAGAAAATTTTTTGGGTATGTAGTTTTATAGCTCATTCAATTCTGGTATAATAAAAGTGAAAGTTGGCTACAAAATACCGTTGTTTTTGGCAATTTTTTTTTTTTTGTTTACACTGTTGCAAAATTAGTAACATCGTTAGCAAAAAAATAATGCCTGATATCAATTGTATTTGGTAGCCAAACTCCACTTCATGATAGATACTAGGATTGAACTGCATACCCAAAAAATTCCGAATTAAAGTTTAAAGTTTTGATGAAACTTTGTTGATACACATTTATTTTAAATTTCTTTATACCGTTTGAAACTTGGATTTATATGGGCTGCGTTTCTTTATACATTCTGGATAATCCCATTTCACAGCCGGAATAAACAGAATACGTTTGAAATATATGTTAACATATCATCAGGAACGTTCTAAAGAATAAGTAAACAAAAAAAGTTTATTCCAAACGTTCAGAATGAATAAAGAAATTCAGCCATGATGTTCATTATAGAACAACCTATTGTTCTATAAAAAAAAAAAAAATAAAAATGGTCTATACTTATCAATATGTCGTGAGTGAGCTAATCATTTTGTCACTCACTACCCCGGTAGTATAAGCCAAAGACTTCACCCTTCTTTAACCGCCCACTAAGGTCGGCGTACCGTTTACCTTCTGCCTAACTTCTATATCTCGAAACTTCTTTAGCCACCACTTTCACTGATATCCTAAGCTGAAGATATTTATTGCTACTGCATGGCATTGATTGCCTGTGCTTGAGAGGTAGACGTGTGACCTCACTTTTTTCGCAATTGTTAAAAGAAAATACCGGAACAGGCATTTTATGGAAGCAGAGCCACTTTCCAGACTCTATACGAACTCATGGACGAGACAATATCATCCAGACGTTACAGACGATAGTGCGGAACAAGGCAGGATCCACAGTCCCCAACGAGTGAGACGACCCGTTGTGGTAGAGCTATTTGCCTCCCACAGTAGTAGGTAACAAAGCTGTACAAAGGAGCGAAGGTAAAACAACTCATCTTAAAATTGTTGTAGCACAAGATAAGGGACCAAAGTAAGAAATGGCGTTTTCCTAAAACTTCCTATGCTTCGATCGTAAGATGAATGTTGTCTTATGGCCTATTTTTGCTTATGCGTAAAAGCACATTTAGACCATTTAGCTCTAAATGCTACTCTAAATGTACATTTATCCATACAAAATTCGTCACCTAAATGCAACTCCATTTTTGCATTAAGAATCTAAATGCTAAAAGCAACCCTGTGATCTTCCAAAATTTCCACGATTCGAACATGGTTTAAAGAGAAAAAGTGGCAACATTGCTTTTTCGAGTATACAGTTGCTAGCTGCGTTTCAGTGATCGTCGATCGGGATTTCTTTTATTTTACATTACATATTTGGATAAAGAAAAGTTAAGCAAATTCAACATCGATGTGATGCTGATAGAAATCAGGATCAATTTATGATCAACTCTGTTTGTTTTGTTTCCTAATTAAGTGAGGAAATTTTAATTGACAGCACCGACAAATGAATATATACACAAACAAATGCTCGGTTATGGTTAACACAATTCAAGTTTTTGTATTGAATTTTTGGTTTAAAATTTATTTTTTCCTTTTCAGTAGGGTTTTTGCACATTATCTTCTGAGTGAGAATTGATCGTAATATACACGGATCTAAATAAGAGACTGGAACACGGCTGTTTGTCAAAAGCATATGATTTCGAACTCGCGTAAATGTACATTTGCTAAATGCTATAGCATGAACGCTCTTCGGAAACATATGTTCGAAAGTGCTAAATGTTGCATTTTAAATGCAGCAAAAACGCTGTATTACACTTATTTCAAACGGATAATTGGCGTGAACAGCGCCCTCTACTTACTTTGTTACCCACAAACATGCGTTTCTGTAGCATGACAGGACGACTGGTAATTGGGTTAACTGCTGTTTTAGAGTTTATCTTATCCCGCGTCTCCATTTATGATCAGCCATCTCGTGCGAACTGTAAATTTGATATCATGCGGAACAGTTATCGCAGAGAAATTTTGATACGTGGGCATTTCATCGCAAACGATTTCATTGCAAAAAGCTAGAGCCCTTCTTTATTTTTAGATGACTTTATTCACAAAAATAGTTTGTTTCACTTTCTTTTAAGCATAGTTGTTACATAAAACAAATTTTTATCAAAGTTTAGCGCAAAACCCAACCGAAAAACACGACGTTTGACAGTTCATTGCATGCAATAATTCTCATGCGATGAGCTCTGATATTTATTATCCATTTGCAAAACATCTTATGAGATGATTCGCATGAGATCGGCGTTTGCATGACGAGACAGGGGGTTATGATGGGGTGACATAGTTTTTTTTAAGTATATAGTACACCCAGAAAAAATTCAGCTAAATATATTTCTCTCAACACATGATTTGGTAAATATAACCAAATAATGTAACTATAACCAAATCATGTGTTGAGGAAAACATATTTAGTTGACGTAACTAAACTCTTTTCTCAGTGTACTTTAGCCTATTAGTGCGAAACCTGGATGGCATAAATTCCCGTTAATTTTACAGATTTAGAAATGTTGATAAAGTAGTAAAGCTCTAAACTAAATTTTACCGCAAGGGTAAATGGCCCGCAGTATACCAGACAGAGGTGGTAGTAATCTCGATCTGCACCAGCGCAGACTTAGAAAAATTATTGAAGTCGCGGGCGGAATGTTTTCAACTCAGAATGAAAGACCAATACCCATATAGTAAAACCTCCAAATATTTTTGTATTCGCAGGCCAAATTTATTTTTTAACGCCATATTAGGTTTGCAATTGTTTGCCTGTGTGTTTTTAGAAAAATTATAAGAAAGAGTTAAATTCATATCGGAATGAAATATGTAACATCTGTTTTTGCTTTCTTTTTTATNTTAAATTCATATCGGAATGAAATATGTAACATCTGTTTTTGCTTTCTTTTATATTTTGTTCATAAATATAACTTTAACTGCAAAATACTCTCTATAAACAAACGTGGCTTATACAGATTTTGTACTTTTTGTTTTACGATAGGAAATATGTATGTATCTTCTATGGACCGTAATTCTAAGATAACTATTAATAATATAATCAGTCGGACACAAGCTCTTAAAATCCAGGCACCGAATAGACCATTTCGTTTTTCAAGCAATCTTTACGACATCCACCAGTTGTTAAATGTTTTATAATGGAAATCATTAACCATCTTTCTCGTTTTTAACTATAACTTNAGATTTTGTACTTTTTGTTTTACGATAGGAAATATGTATGTATCTTCTATTGACCGTAATTCTAAGTTAACTATTAATAATATAATCAGTCGGACACAAGCTCTTAAAATCCAGGCACCGAATAGAATATTTCGTTTTTCAAGCAATCTTTACGACATCCACCAGTTGTTAGATGTTTTATAATGGAAATCATTAACCATCTTTCTCGTTTTTAACTATAACTTAGCTACAGCATTGAGGCTAAGAGGTTAACAGTAGTTTACTCTTCAAATAAAGCAGTGAGATCTTAAATTACGATACAGATACAGATACAGATCACTCAAACAAAACTACAGATAAATAAATATGTAGTTAAACGAAACTGGCGTCAGAATGCCTTTGGCCCCTATTTAAGGCTGTTTGTTGTTTACAATACGATTAGTAAAATTCCCGACAAGTGAAGGTTCCGCAACAGCTGGTTCAATAAACTGGTGACTAGGTGATAAGATGTAGTAAATATGTACATATGTATATATGAATCTAATTTGAGCGATAATATAGTGTGTACGTCAGGCGACTGTAGGATTTGTTAGAGAGGCAAGTCTTCTGACAAGATGTGTTTGTATATTAGTATGTACATAAATCGGGCACTTCCGCATTTACTCACATATTTAAGTGTATGCATATGTATGTACATATATACAGTTAACATCTTTTACTCAAATTCACATAAAAGTGTAATATTGAATTAACTTTTTTCAAACAGTTAATAATCCCTCTAATCTACTCCCTAGCGACCGGGTGGCAACCAGCTAATGGGCCAACGCGACGGCTTCTCGGCATTCGATATCGAGAAGTTGAACAAGATGTACAATTGCGATGCGGCTGCAATGGGTGGCGGCAGTTATGGCGGCTATATGGGTGCCATCGCACCTGCTCCAATGCCGGGTCCAGTACCCGCGCCAGCGCCATTGCCGATGCAACCAGCACCTGCGCCTCCAGCAGGTGGCGCTAATTTAATCGGCAGTTTTCTTGGCGGCCTCATCAGCGGTTTGGGACTAGGTGAAGAGATGGACAATGTTAGTACTACGACCGCCGCATCAAATGAAGTTTAGAAAATGATGAAAAATGTAACGAACGGTGTTAACGAAATGCATATTCATAACTTAAGTTGGGCAATCATTCCGTAATTGCTTGAAATAAGATCAGTTACAAAACTCGAATTTCAATGTCAGTATTATATATTTACATACATTTGTAAGGCATATTAGAGATAGAATAAATTTTAAAAACATAATCATAATTGTTTCCACATAAAAGCGAATAGAAAGATGGTACAACGTCGAAACACAGGATAATGGCGGAAATACGTTCTAAAATTTGGTCCTCAACTCAGGCCGATGAGGGGGGTTGGCTTTTTCCCCGATGCCCGGAATTCTCAAGGGGGCACCGTGCTCAGGCTGGACAATGAAATTCTCTACAACTTTAGAACTTCAATATTATATGTATTTTCAACAGAAATTGTCGAGAAATGGCGAAAACGGCGACAATGTAAAATTTTTTCGCAGTTTTTCTAATTATTAACAATAAAAAATGTTTTATTTTTATATCTCCTATATAACAAATGTGAGAAATTAAATTCTCTACAAATTTGTACTAAACGATTTTTTACGAAAAATGCAAAATATGCTTGCAAATCGCAAAAAGCCCAAATAAACTAAAATCTATTATGGCGGAATATTGCCAAATGAAATTTAGGGGCAAGACTGTGGATATAGAAGTAAACTGCATCAAAATATTGCTGGGGTCTCGTACGATATGTCGAAATTTAAATTGTCTAAACTAAAAACACCGAAAAAAATGTCGAAAAAAATAGTTTNTATTATGGCGGAATATTGCCAAATGAAATTTAGGGGCAAGACTGTGGATATAGAAGTAAACTGCATCAAAATATTGCTGGGGTCTCGTACGATATGTCGAAATTTAAATTGTCTAAACTAAAAACACCGAAAAAAAATGTCGAAAAAAATAGTTTGAAAATCAAGAATGTCGAGAAAAAAATTGTCGAAAAGAAAAATGTCGAAAACAAAAAAACTTCGAAATTAAAAATGTNTGAAATTTAGGGGCAAGACTGTGGATATAGAAGTAAACTGCATCAAAATATTGCTGGGGTCTCGTACGATATGTCGAAATTTAAATTGTCTAAACTAAAAACACCGAAAAAAAATGTCGAAAAAAATAGTTTGAAAATCAAGAATGTCGAGAAAAAAATTGTCGAAAAGAAAAATGTCGGAAACAAAAAATGTCGAAAATAAAAATGTCAAAAGAAAAATATCGAAATAATGTAATGAATGATGTGTAAAATTCGCGCGAATTTTACACATCATTCATTACATTATTTGAACAGGTTGATTTATTTAAGTTAAATTCCACTAATCCTATGTACTAATATAATAAATGTGAAAGTTTGTGAGCGAGTATGTTTGTTGCTCGTTCACGCTAAAAGGTCTGGATATATTTCNTTATTTAAGTTAAATTCCACTAATCCTATGTACTAATATAATAAATGTGATAGTTTGTGAGCGAGTATGTTTGTTGCTCGTTCACGCTAAAACGTCTGGAATTATATTTGGAATATAGATATAATATACTAACATATAAAATATTTTTTGGAGTTGCCACCTCTTTCAAAAGTAAAACCCGATTAATTAACAAGTTTAACAAAATATTAGCAAGCGAAAGCGGTTCAGAAACTATATATTTCGGAAGTATTTTGTAATAGGGTTGCCGCCTGTTAAAAAAGTAAAAGTCAATTAATTGATAACTAAATATACTTTAAGACGGTTGCTATCTGTTTAAAAAGTTAAAATCAATTCTTTGAGAAAGTTTAAACGAAATATTTTAATGTGGGTATCAAACGTGAATGCTTTATTGTAGAAATATTTTTAAAGAGTTGCCATCTTTTCAAAAAGTTAAAATCAATTTAAATAACACGATAACAAAATTTTTTCGGCGTAATTTTGCAGGNATGCTTTATTGTAGAAATATTTTTAAAGAGTTGCCATCTTTTCAAAAAGTCAAAATCAATTTAAATAACACGATAACAAAATTTTTTCAGCGTCATTTTGCAGAACTTTCTTTTTCCATCTCAGGAACTCTAGAACATTTGAAAATCTACTCAGAACACTTTTAATTTTTATTTTTTTCACACATTCAATTTTTCGACTTTTTTTCGACAATTTACGCGTTTTGCATTTTTTTCGACCTTATTCGTTTCGAAAGCATACGATTTCGACATTTTGCGTTTCGATTAAACATTATTTCGAGATTTAAAAAATTTTTAAATTTCGACATTTCTCTTTCGACATTTTTATTTTCGACTTATCGTACGGATCCCTATTGCTGTTACAAATTTTTTTGTTTTTCGAAACAGATGAATCTAATTTTACTGGGCTAAATGTCCGTTTAGCTCAAGTCAGAGGTAAAAGCTCCGCTTAAAAACATCGACTGCTTTATCGACTGGGCGGTAGTGATAGCCAGACATTGAACAAGCGGCCCTAAGCATCAATAATGAGCGAAAATGTGTAAAATAAAATCGGTTTATTAGGTTTTTTCTTAATCTGCCTTATCCTGAGTATCGCCTGAAAAAAAATTCCCCCTAAAGTTTGTTATCCGCCAATAGTAAAACTATGGAAACCAAAAGTGAAAAGTGACCCGGGTCTGGGAAAATTAAACTCGTGATAAGGCTGCATTTGAAAATGAATTGAATTTTTTCAACAAGCCATTTTTCGAATAACTAAAATACCATGTTTCGAAAAAAGGCGAATACTCGAACACCTTACTAGTAAGTAATGTTGTCAGCCCTTCTAACTTGGTGAAATCATTAAGAAAATATAATAATATCCTTAAAATAAACTATGATGTGTTATTAATTATTTCATTTTAATTAGAGTTGAAATGAGTTATGCGCTTTTATCCTGGCGACAAAATTTTGTGTTCGGATTTGATACTTTAGAAATGTGCCGATTTTCGCTCACAGAAATCTGGTCACCGTACTTACATATGTACATAAGTATGCATGCATGTATGTATAGTGCAACACCAACAATTAAAATTTAAATTTTCCATACTTTCTAAACACTTTCATACTTTTTATTTTGTTGAATTTTTTTTTTTGCATATTATTTAATTTTATATAGTTTTTATCATTTTATTTGAAATTTTTAATTTTTTTCTTTTGCTTTAATTTATCGACAATTATATATTCGTTTTTTTTTTTATAATCTTGAATATTAATTTTATCTGTCTTCATCCTATTTTATCTATTTACGAATTACTCTGCAACTCCAAATTTCTCTTTGCTGTCAACATACGGGCTCTTGGGAACCGGCATGCGCTCATGCTATGCAAACGGTATTGCATTTCCGGTTGTGTAACTTTATCGCAAAGCTTCTTTTTGACACTTTCTATCGGCAAAATACCGGCGCTTTCAGTCCCGTCTGCATTCAATGCATCCACTTCGGCGCATTCTGGGCATTGTTGGGTCAATACAATATCATCCACATCTGTTACATAATCACAGAACTGTTCTATTTGTTTTACGAGATAACTATTGGGATCGTTTTGAATATTCTCTCGCTCTAGAAAATAGACCGCTGCTAAAATGCTAAATATACGCTTTTCCACTAGCTTGAGTTGCTGCCGTAAATTGTGGAGATTAACTTCGTCGTAGTCTCCAAAGACCTCTTGCAGTATACTCCAATCGGTTTTCGAGTAGTCGCGTATTAGCTTGAAGCCCTGGAGGAGCTTGGTCAATCGCTTGTTGTTATTTTGTGAAACGTTCTTGAGTTCGCTGTTGCTCTTTCGCTTATCATGTAAATAACGCTCCATATTTTGAATTTGCTCCAATTGAACTCGCATTGTATTCCGATTTTCCAATTTGAGATCATCGATGTCCGAATAGAGTCGATTCACTGCACTATTTAGTAGCGTCATATGGTAACTTGTTTCATTGGCGTAGTTAAAATATGAATAATAAAGACTTTTTTGTTGCTTAAAATTTTCTATAACGTCTTTAATACCGCTATTACCAGTGTAATGGAAGATCTTGTGGAGTACGTCTTTGTTTACGGCAAGTCTCTTTTTCAAGCTTTCGCGCATATTTTGACGTCTTCTATACTCCTTCGGTTGTAAGGGTGCCAAAGTTCTTTGAGTATTCTTTTTCTTAAAAAACTCCATTTCATTACTAAGCGCTACTTTAACACTGCTAAGAGCACGCATTTCCATTCTTTTTGGTTCAGTATCTCTAGCATCTCGTTTCTTCAAAATATCAAACTTTTCATAAAGTTCTATGCTCGCGTCGAATTGATGCATCGCATATCCTATCAAATCCGTCATGTATTTCTTATCGCTATTCAAAGCATGGATTAATTTAAAGTAATGGTCGTTAAAGATTTTCCTCATGGACAAATGTTCAAGCAATTCTTCACGCAGCTTCCTGTTCTCAGCGGTCATTTTGCATTCCTGATGAATGCCGACTTCCAATTGATTTTCTAGCAACATCAGCCGTTTACGTGCCTTTATGGCATTTTCTACCGCACGCGTGTCAGGTACAGTGCGTCTATTTAAGTCGTATATCTGACGTGTTACTTGACCTAATGCACGATTTATATTGGCAATGCCTGCTTTTAAAAATTGTATGCCATCGGCTAATTTCTCCTCACAACTTATATGACATTTAATAGCTTTCAGATTATCAGCGGTATTTTTATTGTATGCAGCACCGAATGCAGTCCACACCTGTGACTTTATATCGGATCCTTCTCTTCGCAGTTTGGCAATGCCAGTCTTTAGATTTGTCTCCACGATTTGGTTGCGCCTAAAGTTCTTCAAGCGTGTCCCTAGAGCTCGTCTGTAATCGCTTTGTCTTTTCGAAACTTCGCTTAGCTTTTGCGAATATTCTCTTAAAAATGATGACTTTAGTTCTGGAGTTGTCGTCGCCATGGTTAAATGAAATCAAGTATCTGGACCAAAAATTGAAGTATTCCGCGAAAAGTTAAAGAGATGAAAATTTTTTTTACGAAACTTCTATTCCTAGCAAACTAAATAACTAATTAATTAATAGATTTTTCAGACATTCTAATGAAATAGACTTCAAATTTATTAATGAAAAGATGTTAAGTTTACAGTAAAATATTTTCACGTCATCGCTATCAAGGCGAATTAATATAAGGTGATATCAGGAGTACAAAAACAAAAATTTACATCAGCAGCCGTGCTGCGAAACACATACATAAAATCAGCTGAGCTAGTAACACCACCTTATCAGAAGAGATACAATTGCAAAACCCCACAACGCCATCCTTGCCTTGGCAAAATACCCTAACTGATTTTTAATGGACTTCAAAAAAAGGAGAAGGTTATCAATTCGTCGGAATATTTTTTTATGTACATATATTACCGCTACCGCATAACCTCCGCAGTGGTCCCATATATATTGGTTTGGATCCGATCATTGGGTCTGGAGAAATTAACGGCAATCTTAGATTTTTATATAAGAATTGAAGTCGGTTTTATTTTTTGCTTAAAAACTACTTGTTTTTTTTTTTAAATTTTTAGGATCACAAGGACGTAAAGGTTTTGAAAATATCCTTTTAATATTGTATCCTTTTATATACTTCAAAATTTCATATACTTCTTTTTGAAAAATCAGGGACCGTAACATTACAACTTTTTTTTTTAAATCGCTCTTTGACAATTATTTTTTGACTTTTATTTAAGTACTCCTTAAACAACCATTATTTCTGACGTTTATTTTATAGATCCAAAATAACAATCATTTTTGATTTTTATCTAAATAAAATTAAATTTAAATTATATGTCTCAGATAACAGTTATCGAAGACTTTTATTTATAAATGTCATAAACAAAAATCAGTCACTGCCCTTTATTTTTTAAATCATACCTATAAAAGTCGTTTGTATAAGTCGTAGTAAACTTTTATTTCCCAACGCCTTCTTAACTCCAAAAATTGTTAGTGACTTTTATACGAACGATTAAAAAAATAACAGTCGGTGACTGATTTATATTGATGACTTTTAAAAGTAACTCAGGTTTATCGGCCATTTTGGAGTTTATCATTAAACACTAAACACTACTCATAATCTCGGAGTTTACCATACCAACAATTTTCGTTAATCTCGTATTTGACTGAGCTTTTCCTCAAAATTGAGCGGTGAGTTCTGTTGTTGTGACTTAAATGGAGGCACCTACATTTTTACGCTGACCCCCATGTAACGGTAGTTTAGAAAAATACGAAAACTGCGACCAGCAGTGAATACTGAAGCGTATTCACTCAAAATTGATATATACAATGATCTCTTGGGGAAAAATAAGAATTCAAAAGCCACTTTTGTCAGCACTAAAAGCAGTTGCCTCCGCCAAATTGATATGGCTGTGTAAAATGATATTGAACAATACCACCAGCTTCGTCAAAATTTGGAAAGACCACCAAAGGCAGTTTCAGAAAGGGCGACTCACTCCGATAACAGGCGATGCAGAACTGAGCAATTTTTTTTTACAAGAGCATGCTATTGCTAGCCTACGCCGTTGACATCGACATCATCGGTAACAAGAACCGCGAATTCTGTTCTGCCTTTTCCAAGTTGGATAAGGAAGCAAAGCGATTGGGTCTGGTGGTAAACTAGGATAAGACGAAATGTCAGCTGCCAGAAAACAAACAATCAGCGCATTCTCGCCTTAGCCCTCCCGTCACTGCTGACAGTTATAATTTCGCGAAAGTAGAGAATTTCGTTTATTTAAGAACGAGTATTCAAATTGATAATAGTGTCAGAATCAAAATCCAGCTTGCCAACAAGTGCTACTTTAGACTGATTAGGCAATTGAGGAGTTAAGTCCTCTCTCATCGTACAAAAATCACACTCTATAAGTCACTCAACATGCCCGTGCTGGTTAATGGTGCGGAGACGTGGACAATGAAGTCATTTGAAGAAGCGGCTCTTGGAGTTTTCGAGAGAAATATTCCGCGCCTGAGACGATGGAACGAGGAGCTATACGGCGCCTCCTCTGGCTCGATCATGTTGTTCGAATGGACATTAACGCTCCAGCTCTGAAAGTATTCAACTCGGAAGCCGCTGGTGGTAGCATAGGAAGAGAGAGGCCCCCACTCTGATAGAGAAGGACTTGGCTTCACTTGGCATTTCCAATTGGCGGTAGTTAGCACATAATAGAAACGACTGGCGTTCTATGTTGAACTCGGCTAAATTCGCTTGGGCGATTGCGGCGCAAAATAAGAAGATGCAGAAGGGACAATAGGCGCCCTTTCAACTGCTAGCAAGGTAGTCATAAAAGTAAAACTCTTTCATGTATATAGAAAATATGTCTATGTATCCGTATATTCGTGGACATTGATTTCATAAACTTAGAAAAAATTCTACATTTAATACTTTCAATTTGAAGGTAGTATATGTATGCATGCCGTGGATATATATAATAAAAACAATTCCTTGCATTTAAATGGTTTTCTACGTTTCAATCATTACGTTTCGCTGCAAGCATACGCGATCTCGGCAAGCGACACTGACTAATGCTGTGCAAGCGATATTGCATTTCCGGCTGAATGACACGCTCATACAATTTCTTCTTTACAGTATTCCAACTCTGTATACCATCGCCACCCTCAGTATCTTCAACATTGGTTGCATCGGCCTCGCCACATTCCGGACATTGTTGCGTCAGAACAATGTCATCTAAGGGTGTTGGCCAATCGCAAATTTTGTGCACATCTTTAACGATATAATTAGGTTGATTGCTGGTGGAACCGCTTCGTTCGAGCATATATTGCGCCATCGTGATGGAGTGTATGCGCCTCTCCAGTATCTTCAGGAAGTGACGCATATTGGAGAGATTGACATGGGAAAAGTCACCCAACAGTGCTTCGAGCGATTTGCAATCGGCACGCGACTGGACTTTGATCACCTGTATGCCTTCAAGCAATTTCTTGAGCCGTGCGTCGTTTTCATCGCGCACCTTACGCAGATCATCATTCTTCTTTTGCCGCTCTTTTAGCGTATTTTCGAGTTCCTCAATAGTGTCTACCTGAGTTTGCAACGTATTATGGTTGGTATGTTTAAGTTCGGAAATTTCATTAAATAATCGATTCACTGTGTTGTTGAGCAGAGTCATGTGATAGCTCAATTCATTGGCGTAGTTAAAATACGAATAGTAAAGGCTTTCTTGTTGCTGAAACTTATTAATGACGGCGGACACATCATGTGAGTCGGTGTATTCCAAAATTTTTTGCAATATCGTGTTATATAAATTGATCTTTTTACGATGTTGCTGACGAAATCTCTCACGCCGTCGATACTCTTTTGGCTGCAGATCGTCCATTATCCTTTCTCGAGTTTTACAATCCAAAAACTTATATTTAGCCGCGTCGGATGCTCTCTTCCGCATAGTAGCCTGCATTTCAACCATTCTAAACTCGTGATCCTTTGCATCCTTCTTAATTAAGTTGTTCATTTTTTCATAAACGTGTATGCAATTTTCGAATGTGGCTAGCGCATAGTCGATCAAGTCGATTATGTATTTCCTCTCGCTGTTTAATTTTTGAACCAGTTTTGTGTAGATATCGTTGAAACTGGTGCGGTGCTGCAGCAGCATCATCAGCTCCGCTCGCAGTTCACTATTGACGGCTGTGAAAGCACATTCGCCTCGCACGCCAACCTCCAACTGATTTTCCAATATGGCTAGCTTCTTGCGCATGCGCGCCACATACGCCTGATGCTGTGAATCGGGCACTGTACGGCGATTTAAATCGTACACTTGCTTATTAACTCGACTAATTTCACGTTCCAAATTCGTTGTGGATTCCTTAATATGCCGTATATCGTAGGCCAAATGCTCCTCACAGGTGACGTTACACTGAATATTGCGAAGCGCACGATTTGTCTGTCGCCGATGGGTTCCACCGCTGGCTACCCAAATTTGTGCGCGCAACGTATCTTTTTCCGTGCGCAGATGGTCAATGGTGTTTTGATAGCTTTTCACCATAATTGTCTCCTTTCGCGTGCGCAACTTTGTTGACAGAACAGCCTTATATTGACGCTGACGGCGGCTGAGTTCCTTCTGCTTTTGCCAATAGCTCTCAAGGAAGTCCTTTTTATTAAAATCAGGGCTTGTTACTTCAGTCATGGTGCTGGCGAATCGCAAAAATGTTTCCTCAATACGATTATAGAAATTTTCTAAAGAAAACCCGACTGCGTAAAAAAATAAATAATTTAATTGAAAGTATTAAATGCCTTCGCTCGGTGCTCGGATCGTAACTTGAATGAAAAATTATTTTGACACAAGCATAAAGTGCAGAGAAAATGAGCTACCGAAGTAGATGGGGTGGAAACAAAATAGGGTACACCATATTCTACAATAATGATAAGCATATAAGAAATAAATTTCTTTCGATACAGCAAGCGAGACCGTACATCACTGGACGTCTTGTTACGACAAGCTATGCACCAACAAACGTGAACTTAATCATGTGATCTTGAGCCGCTTATGCGATCAAGGTGTTGAGGTAACCATGCTGGCTGCTAAAATAGGCGGTTACCAAGTTGCTGACCTCCAGCGGTTGAGTCTGATGACCGGAGAGAAACGAAGGTAAATGTTCTTTTTACAGGTTCTGCGTTCTGGGTTGCTTACTCTGGGTAACGTGAGCAACCCATGTGCGAAATACGGTAACTAATCCAAGTAGTGCCTTAGCCCAAGGCAGAAAGAAAGGGAGCTTCGGTGGGGCCACTCCGATTTAGTTGGATTCAACGCTCACTGACGTCTGCAGCGTCTGCTCCCAGAAGTTGCAGCTGCAACCGGGTGTCTGCCTTAGAGCAAGTGTTTCGCTGATATTCACGTAACGACAAAAGCTGACATTACCGCCATCCAAGAATGCGATGTACGGGGCTAAAAAGGCATGGGGCCTTGCGACGTCTACTACAGCTGCCGTGTAAAGGAGCGCAAATTGGTGCTGGGAGCATCCAAGCATCTCTTTTATGGCGATTTAAATGCCAGGGTGAGCAGGGTAATTTAGCCCCACCGTAGGAAAATTCATACTAAGGATGCAGCCAAGATACGCATCCGCCTCTTTGCAGCAAAAAATGGGCGTCCGACACCGCAAGGAAAGCTCAACATCGAAGAGCTGCAATCACAGCAGACGGCCAATGTAATCATCGACTCTCACACCTACTCTCAGAGAGAACACTTCAATAAACCGACATATGCGAGCTGTGGAACCAAGTTTTCCACCTCGCTGAAGAAGTAGTCGAATTTCAGCGAGCACCAAAGACCAACGATGACGAATGTCACGAAGCTGCAGAGCAAAAAGATGCCACCTACAAGGCCACGCTGCTTTCGGCCGCATCGCATGCGATATGGGACAGATATAGGGAACTGAACAGGGAAGCGAAACGTTTTTGCCCTAATAAAAAGAGAGAGGACGATATACGGGAGTGCGAAGAGCTTGAGATGCTGGCTGACAGGAAAAAACTCCAAAAATTTTACCAGAGACTTAGGCGGCTAACGGATGGTTTCAAGACCACACCCGGCACACTCCTGTAAGAGCAACGATAGCGACCTAGTTAACGATGTCTATAGAATATACCTAAATTATGGAGGTAAACCTAAATTATGGAGGTACTGAATCGGTGAACCACTGAAAGTTGTGGAAAAGACAAGCCTGGGCTCCCAGTCGATGATGATGGAATCGGTGTTCCACCGCCATACTACGACGAGGTACGAGTAGCAGTTACGTAGGTGAAAACCAACAAAGTTGCGGGAGCTGACGTCCTGCGAGCTGAGCTATTCAAGTACGCGCCAACTATCGCGCGATCAGCCACCTAAGCATAGGTACAAGGTATTATCGAGCGTATTGTGTGAAAGACTGAAGCCCACCGCCAACTAACTGATTGGGCCCTAACAGTGTGGCTTTAGACCTAGCAAATATACCATAGACCAAGCATTCACAATGCACGACATCTTGGAAAAAAACCCGCGACACAGGGATGGACACTCACCACCTACATAATGGTCGACTTCAAAGGCGCTTTCAACAGCACTAAAAGTAATTGCCTGTATCCACGCGATACTGATACGGCTGTGTAAAATTTCGTTGAGCAATAACACCATCTTCGTCAGAATTGGGAAAGACAGATTTGGGTATCGACAACAGTAATGGATATTTTATACGCCTACTTTGAAGGAAGCTAATGTAACTTAATTAAAAATGGCAGTTCGAACTTTAAAAAAATAGAGGATTTTACTAGGGCCCACCGAAGATGTTCTCTTTAGTTTTGAGTAATACCACTACTCCAAATTTCCATTAGTTGCGAAATGGCAATTTTTACCGTTTAGTAAATGCCGTGTGGACTATTTTTTATTTTCTTTTTTTACAGGTATTTTTTTTTTGTATTTAAAGTAGGGACCGAGAACGCGTTCCAGTTTTGGATTAGTTCTGCACGAGAACGAAATGTAACGTTAAGTGCGTTCGCATACACGAACCAAAGTTTGAACCGAAACAAAATGTGAACAAAAGGTTCGGCAATGTTTCCTTAAAGAATAAAACTCTCGGGAACGTTCCCCAGAAGAATAGAATGCGAACGAAACTGTTGGGAACATTTCCAATGAGAACAAAATAAGAACGAAAATATCGAGAACTTTTTCAATGAGGATCGAATAAGAGCCAAAGTCTGGGGAACGTTCTGCTAGAGAAAAAAAAAGGAAAACAATCGTTTTTAGAGCTTTACGTTAAGAATGAGAGGGGCATCCGCGTGTTGGGATGAAAAATCGTTTCAGTTTATTATTAGGGTGAACTGTCCATTTATGGAACAATTTTTCATTTCCTGTGCTAGAAAAGTTTGTGTCTTAAGCCTTTCGTTAACTTTATTTGCGTAACTATATTTCAGTTCTTTTTCGATTAATTTAAATATTTAAATTAATGGAACGTATGAGACAAATTTTGTTCTCGATTTCTTTCTTCGCGAATAGCTCAGATAAGATTTGCTCCCGTTTCTTCTGTGAGAAAGTGGCTGAGACTTTTGTTCTCATTTTGTGTTCTTAGAAATATTCCCGAAAGTATTGTTCGCATTTTGTTCTCTTTGGGACCGTTCCACAGGGTTTTGTTCTTATATAATTGCAATTGAGAACGTTCTCGACAGTTTTATTCTCATTTGGGTTTTTGGGTTTGATGCGTTCTTGGGAACAAAACTACGAGAACGACATTTAGTTTCGATCATACCTTTTGTTCTAGGTCGCTGTGAAAAAAATTTAATAAAAATATACAGATGTAAATACATATGTACACACCAATGTAAATCGACAAGTGCTAAAAATAATAATTCGGATTGAGGCAATTTTCCGGACCATGAAACTCATCTCTCGCAAGAGATTTTCGAGTATTTTCAGATTAGAACGAAAATAAAATATGCTTAAATGCCCATGTCCATATCTACATACATATGTATGTATCTCGAGCTATTGCTGAGTTACACCTGCCACTTCTAAGGCTCGGAAAATTTTCGATATTGAATAAATAAAAGCCGCCGTTCGCAAATCATTGCAAAGCTCAAACTCGTGCGCCACCTCTTTGATGCCCTGAGCAGAAGATTCCATAACAGTTTGCAACCCGGCATCTACAATTTCCGCCTCTTTGGTGCAATCCCGGATTTTCTCCAGCATTTTATTTGGTTTGAATTTAGCCTAAATTAAGAACGTAGGAATGTAGAAACTTCAGTTAACAAAGCTGTGGGCTTACTTACGTCTTCTTTACCATCGCCGTTCAAGGAGTTGAAGATTTCATTGATCATAAGCTTATCGCGTTTCACATGCATTTTGCCATAGGATACATGATTTATATTCTTTAAATACTCAAAGTAAGACACCGTCACGCCACCAGCATTGCAATACATGTCGGGTATGATGAGAACATTCTTCTTGCGTAGTATTTCGTCAGCAGCAGGTGTCGATGGCCCATTGGCGCCTTCCAAAATTAATTTGGCCTGCACACTGCCAGCATTGTCAGCAGTGAGCACTTTTTGTGTTGCGCACGGCATCAGTATGTCGCATTTTTCAGCCAACAGACTGCCGCTTTTCTGCGTCGCCTTCGTGTAGCCTTTGATAGATTTCTTATTCTTTATATAATATTCCATTAAATCCTAAAAATTGATATGAAAGCTCTTAATTGTGTGTAGTGATGCGCATTCCAAAGGCGTATGTACATGGTACCTTGGGATCGATGCCTTTTTCATTCACAAGCGACACATCGATTTCTTGTACACCTATAAGTTTCGCACCAGCTTCCACTACAGAAATAGATGCATAGGATCCGACATTTCCAAAACCCTGTACAATCACTGTCTTATCCTTCCAACCAGTTTTCCATCCCAATAGATCCATCCAATCTTTATCCATAATGAAACAATCAGCTGCCTTGAACAGGCCGCGTCCTGTTGCCGCAGTTCGGCCATTTATACCCCCCATTGCAACTGGCTTACCGGTTGTTATAGCCAATGCATTGAGGTCATTGTAACCTTCAGTGAATATTTAGCCGATATTTAGTTTTAATTTTCAAATTATTGTAGTAATTATATGTTTTCTATATCTACCAAATGTCTTCATGTATTGATCCACGAGCCAACTCATCTCTCGCTCACTTGTATTGACATCAGGTGCGGGTACATCTATACCCGGCCCTATCATATTGCGTTTCAATAGCTCCATGGTGAAGCGTCTTGTAATCGTCTGCAATTCTTGTGAAGTATACTTTTTGGGATCGATTCTTATCCCACCCTTGGAACCGCCAAAAGGCACATTCACACAAGCGGTTTTGAATGCCATCAGATAAGCTAAGGCTCGAATTTCATCGGAGTCAACGTCCATGGCATAACGTATGCCTAAGAGAAAAAAATTGGATGTCGTTAAAGAATATATTCGGCTCTATTATGGTTGTCAAGGTCGCCGTCGACGTCATTTTTTCATTAAAAAATAGCCCTCATAAGTCTAACTCTAGCTACGCTAACCAAAGTATTTTTGAGGAAAGATGTTCCGCGCAAAAACACTATGGTCAGCGTAGCTGGAGTTGGACGTACGAGGGCAATTTTCTGATGTAAAAATTACATCGACATCGACCTCGACAATCATAATGGGGCCGATTGAGTTTCATTGTTATAGTCAAAAGTACCTAATAGTGATATGAAAAGGAGTGAAAATTAAAAAGAAATTCGCCAAACATATCGCACGTTTAATAATATAAAGAATTATTTAAAAATTTAAATTCAACAATTTATATTGAGCTCGAGGCCGTTTTAAAAGAAAATTTTTATTGTGAAAAGCAACAATAATTTGAAAAAAATGGTAGAAGTGATAGCTATTTCGGAAATCACCACATTTCCTCATCAGACTTCTTTCAGTAGGACTCGAACCGACGATCCCACTGACTTCAGCCAGTTGCCTATGCACCGTGCTAAGTTCGCCTTGTATGCCTTGATTTCCGAAATAGCTATCACTTCTACCATTTTTTCAAATTATTGTTGCTTTTCACAATAAAAATTTTCATTTAAAACAGCCTCGAGCTCAATATAAATTGTTGAATATAATTGTTATAAAGGCCAAAAAATAACAAAAACAAATAAAAATTTAAATTTTGTGGAAAACGCATCAATTCATACAAATGGTATACCAAAAGACAGCTAGAAAGACATACACTTGTAGTCAGCTGATTAAGTTAAGTGTGTGTAAGTACACTCAAAATTTCGTACAAAAATTTTATAAATTAAGCAATATTTAGCAATTAAACCCAAAAATTTTATTCTTTTAATTAAAATTAAATTTAATTTAAGGAAATGAAAACTCAAAACAGCGCCAATTAATTGAAAATAAACTCGTATTAGCTCTGATCCAATACTTTTCGTGACAAATCCTGTAAAACTGTCAAACAGCAAAATTACTCTCTGAAGTGAGAGTAAAAAGTGAGTAACAACAAAAAGTACGGGAACAAAAAAACCATTTTTCCGGTAAAAACGTCAACAAGTGATTGCTTGACACTTTTCATGATTTTACCAGAAGAAAAAGTTCGCGTAAAATCTTGCAACTTCATTCTCTACACCACTCTCCAAGTCGCTCTCATTCAGGATTTTGGAGGGTTTTGGAGTACGGGAACATTTTTCCTGAAACTTCCTGCAAGTTCGTGTAAAATCCTGTAAGTTCATGGAGTACTGGATCAGAGCTAATATGTATGTATGTGTACTACTATTCAAAATCATCTGCATCTAAACGCACCCTTCCAGAAGTTACTCAGGGGCGCAAAAGGGACACTTTGCGATGATGAAATAGCAACATGTTTTTATTTATTTTTACTCGTATTTTCACAAAGAAAGGTTTCTGACAGGCTAACCTAATATTCGCGGCTTGCGTTTTGGTACGCATGCCGTCGAATTTGTTTTTTTGCGTCACCCGAAATTGACTTGCATGCGTTTGCATTTGATTTCATTGAGCGAAACGTCAAATCAAAATGTCACGCAGAACAAAAATTGGAAATTGAGTTAGCTTCATACGCACGCCGTTCAATTTCGGTTGATCTCATACAAGTTGCATGTGCATGAGAAATTTTTGACAATAAATTGGCGGCGTGCGTGAATATTAGGTTAGCCTGTGAGGGGTTTCGACTTTATTTGATACACGGCCTCTTGAGCTCCTTCGCCACGCACACCTCTTTTAGGAATGAGTGACCGGGATGTAGGAGTTGGTAGGTACCACCGGTGAATTTCTACACGGACGGGTCGAAGCTTGACGGAAGGGCCTGTTCTTTTGTGCAGGGCGCTGACGAACTACTTTTAATTTGGTCTTGCATATGTATCACTACAGGCAGACATGATAACATTCGGATACTAATAGCGATAGCAATTATGGCTACTTAAAAAACGAGTTACTTGGCTTTCTAGTTGAGAGAAATATCTTTCAGTTTACTTGAAAATTTCTTATGATTTATACCAACAATTTTCGTGAATGCCCCAGTACTTGGGTAAATATCTATCTAATATATCTTTACCTTTAAACATGGGCGTAGCCAGGTAGCGGCAGGGGGGTGCCCCTGCCTCCCCCCCCTAACTTTCAAATTTTCCTTATATATATATAAAATAGTACCCTGAAATGCCTGCTTAATAGGGTCGAAATTACCCATCAAAATCGCACTTACATACATATCGCGTATTTACTAAAATTCATAACTCAAAAAATTAAAATTTTCAGGAGACGCGTTTAAGGGTTTCCATTCGCTCCCAAAATGTCGAAAAAATTTCCTATATATATTTTCTTACGCAGAAACTACAAATGCGTTTTGATTTGGAGAAAAACTTTTTCGATCGCCCAATAATTGTTTTGCGTAGATCTCACATCTTTCATTAAATCAGGTTATAGTATGTTGGAATCTTGTTTCAACTCTACACTGGTTTCTTCTTGCAACTTTGCAAATTGGAGCATAAGCTTCCGCTACTTACCTCCCTTGAGCGGTAGTCGATGTCTGGTATGATGTGCCCGATAGCCAGTGATTAATTCATAACTACCATTATCTCTGATGATGGGGAAAGTAACTTCCAACATTGTGGTAGTTGATCCAATCATTCTCAGTAAACCACGGACGCGTTCTTCACGTTGCTCTTTCTTCATCCAAGGATACTTTTCCAGTTCCTTTATCATCATTGGTTCCATAATTTGTGCGGCTGCATGGTAATAGTATTCAACCATTTGTGAAAATCCTGGATTTTTCTCCTTGGGTACCTTTTGCAAATGTTTCGGAATCTCATGCTTTTGGCGAGTATTAGTCAAGCTGAGAATTTTCTGCGACAGCGGCGATCTTAAACACTTTCCCAATATTCGTGCCGTACTGATATGCATTGAGCTAATGAATAGCAACAGCAGAGGTTTAGGTTTAGGTTTAGAGGTTTAGTTGTAAATTTATATCGCAATTTTGTGCTATTATTTTTTTATTGCGTGTATTACTTTTTCTAAATTTTTGTTTTTTTGGTTTTCTTGTGACAATTGTGATTTTTCTACAATTTTCAGACATTCGGAAATCGGGTTTGAGTTTTATTTCGAATCGGCATGGAATCGCCTATCAGATTGTCTCCTCCGACGGAGAAACTTGTCCTAGATGACGCACCACCGGTTTTGGTTAAGAAATTAGTGGATTACTGCAAAAACCATAGGATAATACTAATTAGAACGCATTTATTTTGTTTAAAAATTTGAGCATTTATTTATTTTTAATTGTCGTTTTTTTATTTAATAATATTGATTAGTTAATTGCTAATTAAATTAAGCATTTATGACAACTACATAAAATTTTATTGATTAACTTATTACTTTTTGCATTATTGCTACAATTTTATACAACTAGAACACTAACACATCTTTGTTTTGTATATATGTATGCTTGTCGTATATGTAAATACATATGTAATATGCTTTAGCACATACATATGTATGTATAATATGCAATTAGATAAATAATATATTGTACAATATTAAAAAAAAAAAATAGGTTATTGCTATGTAAATACATGCATAATAACGTATGCGACTTTGAAATTTAAACGTAGTACAAAGTTTTACGATAAAAAAATAAACATTGTACATACATACATACATGTTTAAAAAGAAAAAAAACTAAACATCGAAAATAGTCAAAGAAAAATGCTCTCGTTCTGCGGAAGCACTCATAATGAGACAAAAGCTACATTTGGGTCTTGAAAAAGTTTATAGGATTTATGGGATTTTTTTACAGAATCTTTAATCCCTATGCTATGCACCACACAGTGGAGAAATTTATCTTTTTTTTTGTGACAAAGTTTAATATCTCGAGAACGAGAAACGCTGGGCTAGTAAATTTAATAATACTTTAAAGCAGCCCTGGGCATATTCGCTCTGCTTTAGAAGGCAGCGAAAGCTTCATTCAACCGCAAGACTTATTCGCACGCACACGGTTACATCAATTGCACGCACACTACAAAAATTCTCTGTCGAAGCTGCTCACCTCTGTTTTAAAGCTTTAGAGGTTGAGAATAGTCACGTTGAATAAGAAAAATTACCTTGACTTTAAATGACCCTAAAAAATAGAAGGTTGTAATTCTTCTGTCCTTTCTTGTCCTTAAAACAGCATGCAATGAAATTTGTTTTTTAAGTTTTGAACATATATTTTTGTTTTTCTTGCGTCAAGGAATCAACTTCCATGGTCGGAAGAACCGAAAAATACCTCCTAATTTTTTAAGAAGTCAATTAAATTCTGTTTTCGGGTAAATTTTTTTGATTTTTGACCTTTTTTGACTTAAAAAAAGTATGTAATGAAGTTATTAAAATAAACCGCAAAACATATGTTTAAAACTTTTTAAAAAGTTTATTGTATACTGTTTTCAGGCCAATAAAGGAAACAAATTGAAAATCCTCTATTTTTGAAGGTCTTTTTTCAATGTTGCAGTTAATTTTTTTATCCAATCATATATATGTACTACTTTTATGAATTCTCCAAAGCTTTAAAATGCTGTTAAATTTATTTCACTGGCTCTGCTCGTTTCCGCGATAATAGATTTTCTTACAAAAAACTCTAATTTTCCACAGTGTGCGTCATGTATGTATGTATACGTTTTTATTTTGTTTTTATTATTTACTCTTCATTATAATTGCTTTTAATTTTCTGCATTTCTATGCAGTCCTTTTTGGTACTGGGTTTCAAATGTGATGATGGTGCGGTAGTTTGCCAATTTTATTTAACGCAAAATTTAAAAAAAAATGTGCACCTATGTATGTATGTATATGAAATACGACCTTATGTGCATACATACAACTCGTTGTATCAAAGTACTACATATTTTGTATGACAATTTTGAGTAAAAATAACAAATCACCTTAGAATATATTTTTTGTTTCAAAATAGTTTTAATTGCACATTCGCAAATTTATTGTTTAATTCCCATGTTTGGAACATGTAAGTATGTATGTACATATGAACATTAGACCGTACCACTTTACAGGCAAACAAAAAAAGTTCGCCGTAAACCCCTGGAGTCTACAGTATTTTTACAAGGCAATTTTGACCGAACTTAGTGGGCCGCCTTTTTAAATGTTTCGGTTACTCCTACATTCGACAATAACCTTTTTTTAAATGGTTCGGCTGGAATAATCAAAATACTTCTTCAGCTAAAGTCTACTGATTTTTGGTAAGCTTTAGTTTGCTGACATTAGAGTGGTATGTTAGGAACATAAGTAGTGAGATCTGATGGGTAAGTACTAGAACGTGGTACTTGAGACAATTAAATTTGGAACCAAAATAATTGTCTACTCGAGACAAGAACTGAAGATCCGACTGCAAATGCCAAAGATATGACGAAATGTGAAAAATTCAACCCCTACATGCGGCCAAAATTATTTTCATCGTAGGACGGATGGTATTGAAATCGGACTAAAATTACGGCCACTTTTCATACATATAACGGTAAGTTTCAGATAAGTAAGTCGATATTTCGAAATTTACTCAAAATTTATGCTAACAGCAATGCGTTGAAAAGAAGTAAATTAAATAATATTAAAAAAAAATTCAGTGCCATGAATAATAACAATATGGACCGCAAATGAGAGATTTTGGAATTGGAAAAACATTTCGGGAAATGGGCGTGATACCGCCCACATATGAATATATAAGTTTATCTCATTATGTCTAACTGAACGATCTATCGAAGATGTTTGAAATAGGGGTAAAAAAAAACTACATTTAATACTTGCGTCGAGTATTTAATGTTTGGCTCCGCCCGAACTTATGGTCTGATTATGGCAACTTAACTTAACTTAACGGCTCTCACTTAAACATTCTCATAAATGAATGTTGCTTATAATTGAACAGCCAAAACTTAACGTAACTTACTGCCACGTCGAAATCTGTTTCATTTTGATTTTTTACGTTCTACGTTCCGTTAAGTTAAGTTGCCATAATCAGGGTTTGGGACTTTCTTATTTGTCTTAATTCAAAATTGCCTTGCAAAAATTCTTCACACTCAAGATTAGGCTTTGAATTTTTTTAAAGAGGTGCACCAGAAAGCAAACTAAAGAACCATTTAAAAGACGAATTTCGAAATATATTTCATGTAAGGACTTTGAGTTGACGATGAAGATATTGGATTGGAGAGCATCAATGATAAAAAGCACTTTTTTATTTATTTTAATTCGCAAATTTTTTAATGTAATTGAATTAATTTTAGTTTTTTTTTTAATTTTAATTTTGTTTTTATTTATTTAATTTTGATATGTTTTTATTTATTTTACTTTATTTGATTTGATTGTATTTCGTTTCATTAAATTTTATTCTATTTTTATTTATTATGTATTGTTTGACTTTATTGTGTTACTTGTTTTATTTGACTTTTTATTTCATATGTTATTATTATTACACTGCGTGAAGGTGAAATTTACAATAAAAAAAAAAAAAATATTAAAAAAAAATTCAGTGTCATGAATAATAACAATATGGGCCGCAAATGAGAGTTTTTAGAATTGGAAAAAAATTAATTTTTTGGTGCACAAAAACGAATAGGTAAAAAATTGTATCCTTGAAAATGTCCAAAGGTACCAAAATACATATATACATATACACGACCATATCGTTGAATTTGCTCCTTCTAGCTTTATTAGTTTTAGGACAAAAAAATAATAATTAAAACGTCGTTTTATTAAAATTTTTTTAATTCTACAGAATTTTCCATTTCATTTGTTACCTATACTGTTAAAGTATAGTGCACTGAATTTTTTAAACAATTGTTTTGAATTGAAAAATATTGGCGTCAGGGAGAAAACCTTTTTTAGTTTTGCTACATGCATACATATATTTAACCCCTAGTTCCGTGAGTATATTGCTGGCTTCGAGTGTTTTGAAATTTTTTGGCCTTTATCGCACGGTGTTTTTAGTCTTTTTTTTATTTATTTGAATTTGATATAAGTTCATTTAATTTAAATCAATTTAATATAACTGAATATTATTTAAGTTTTATTTAATTAATTTAAACATACTTCAATTTAATATGAGCTATTTTACTTCATTTTCTTGTATACACCTTTTATTTTATTTTGTTTTATTTTATTTATTTAATTTTATTTAGTTTTTATTTTTACTTTTCTTTAAATTGTTTAGATATATTTTTTGCAGTATTTTCTTTGACTTTCTATTGTATTTTACTTTGGGCTACATTATTTAAGCCAAAAATTAAAAGCTGTTTAAAAAAACTTAAAAAAATATGAATATACATAAACTAAACCATAACACATATGAAACACTGCGCTTTATAAACACTCTAGGCACTAATAAAATTACATATTTTACTATTTTTTTTATTTTTTTATGTTGTTTTTGATTTTGAATTACTTAAAACTTATTAATAGTTTATCTTTTATTTTTTTTTATAAGTAACTAGAAATTAATTAAAAATTTACTTGTATTATTATTTTTTTAAATACTCAAAATACTTTACATATGTAAAATATAAATCATTATTTTTTAAATAATTCAAAACTGTAGTGCAAACTTAAGTTTAGGATCACGATTTCTATGTTTCCACTTCAGCATCATTTTTCTACTCTCATTTTTCGGGCGTTTTCATTACATTGCATTTACACTCTTTGTGTACAAATGTATATACATATACATATATGTACATATGCATGTATGTCGGCATGTACCTATGCATATATACATATTTACATGCAAGTATGTAATCTCATCAAAAAAAAAAACTATCCTTAACCATAAAAGATGACTTAAAACTTAAGCATGAGTAAGCACGGAAAATAGAAAAATATTTTGAATAAAGGCATTTACATATATTTTTTTAAATATAATTACATACTTATGTATGTATGTGTGTGAGTGTGTATTTGTATAGTATATATGCATGTATTTCAGCATATATGTATGTATGTGTAAAGCATTAATGTACTTTAAAAAATTAAGCACATTCGGAAGAATCCACATTTACATGAACGCGCACCGCACTTTCTGCACCACACTTCCTGCTAACCATCCACATTGGTGACTTCAACCGAACGCGGCGTATGTAGGTTGATGATCTCACAGCTTTTGGCATTCGCGAACCTTACATTATTTCTCACAGCGAGCTTTATGTAATTTATGTGGGTGGCTTAGGGGCTCGTTGCTGTTGTCACAGCTAATTTATCGTTTGCCTTGGCGTACTGCCCTCAATCAATGCTCTAATCATCGTCTTTCTTGTCCGTCTTGAGGTCGTATTTAGCACACAACTCTTCCGGTGTATAGCTGGAAAGAAAACATTTTTAATATATATGTATTACAAACCATTCCTGTCGATCACTGAGATAAATGTACAACGTACCCGATCAGATTTTGTAGATCACAAACAAACTTGTAGACGTAGCGCTTGCCAGCTGTCTTGTGGATAATATTTTTATCGTAATAGTAACGTAGACCTCTGCTGAGTTTTTCATAGTTCATTTTTGGTTTATTCTTGCGAATACCCCAGCGACGAGCGACCTGGAAAGAGAATGGAATATTTTAGTTGAAAATCAGGTAAATGCAAGTGTAAATGTACATAAGTAGGATTCTATAACTGCCCTGTAGGGAATTCTACTAGTTGCGAACTATAATGCTACCAGTTTGCATTTCAGCCCAACGACTTCGCGTTCTATCCTTTTTCAATGTTAGCGACTGGTATATTTAACATGGCAGTATCCTATGAGATGTCAATTGTCTGACTATGCATCAGCATCTACCAGTAGAAATACTAGTAGTATCATACCATTTGATGGCATAGTCTGCCACTTCAACCACGAGAAAAGCATAAGTGAGGTCCGAGCTTGAAGTCATTGGTTAGGGAAAATATTTTTTTCTGTTTTCAAGATATTTTTTTTCTTTAATTACATAATTATTTTATTGTAATTTTTAATGTTTTTTTTTTCAAGAAAAATATTTTTTTCGAATGTCATTTCATTTTTATGGTACAAGTATTCATTTACATATATATGCACGTTTTTTCTCAAATAAAATTAGATTTCCGACTTTATAATTTATATTTAAATTGAAATAATTAAATTAACTTACATTAATTTAATTTTAAAAATCTTTACCACCTCCAAGTAGTCTTCCCGCGATGCCTCAGCAAACATTTGTAAGAAAATCAATTAATTGCATTTTATTTTTTACGCTGACAGGTCAATCAAAGGCAGATGTCGTTGACGCTTAAGTTTTTTGAAATTGTCGAACTCGGCCATCGCTTTAGCTCATACTAAATAGTTTATGAACTGTTATTTTTATTGACTGGTTTGACTTTTCACTGCAGGATGCTTTCAACTTCGTTCGGAAACTGGTATGTATATTGATTAGTTTTCGTGCTTGGCTCAGTTTGCTTTTCATCTTGGTAATAAAAAACCCTGAACCCAGGTTCCTACCAACTGCTCAAATATAGTATTCGGACGCTACAAAATATATGTAGATTAACCACAGTTATGGCGTTTATCGCAATTCTTTACTATGCTTTTACGCTCCACGTCTTAACCCTTAAAACACCTAGTGGGGTCCTCAGAACACCAAAGAGAGTGATTTTGTGTGATTCTACCGAATGCCAACACAAAACAAAAAGCGCCAAGATATACAAAATTAATTTCGGGTCGTACATTACAGATCTACCGGTTTTCTAGGCCAGGTCATTTTCCCCAAGATATTTTAATTTAAAATTTGCATTTTTAATGAAAAACATCAAAGTTTAACAGACTCGTACACGGCGTATGAATAACATTCTTTCCTGCTTATATTTCTTACAAAAAAAGCTTCCACATTTTCATTTGACCATTCGTAGTTATTTATCCATCGATTTTCTTTATTACCTTGATTTTTTTTGTAAATGAACGGGCTTGAATAGAAATGAAGAACATTTACAGAAAAAGCTGCTACTTTTAAAATTTTTTTTTCATAAAAATGAAAATAACTTTGGGAAAATTATCTGATCTAGAAAACGGAATACAGATTCGTAATCTACGATTCAAAATTAAGTTCACGTGTTTCGGCGATTTTAGTGTCATTTCAAAACTTGAGATTTTCCCTAGTGTGATTAAACCTTGATTTTTATATGATAAATAACAGATTACTGAGATATATATCTCCAAGTTCCCACAATTTTAATTATATATAATAAAAATCCAAGTTGAGGAAAAAACTTAAAGAAAAAACAAGTGGGTTTTTAGAAGACCCCAGCTTGGATAAACAGTGTTATCGTCTGGAACATGGTATGTTTAGGGTTAAGCAAGGTGTTCTTGGTTTTTGTACAGTTTACAATTTTGCACGCATCTGAATTTAATTTAACACTTTTTACGGATTCTTAGCGCTCCAAAAATTGTCTTTTACCACTCAACTTCTACCTATTCTATCTAATTCTCTTAGATATTATATCCCCTATAACCACATACGCCACGTTCGCTTTTTCCAAAACTCACCTCATCTGGATCGGTTAACTTGAATTCCCAGCCATCGCCCGTCCACGAAATAAAGCCCTGACACGTCTTATCCATTAGCAATTCCAATAGAAATTGCCACAGCTGTATGGGCCCAGAGCCTGTAAAACATGGCACACCTCCTTGCATGGGGTACGCTCCCATCAGCGCCTTCTCCAAACTCATCGTATTCATATACGACGCTGAATGTTGGCCCGCATGATGCACTCCCCATTGATCGACTGGCGATTGCCCGGCCATTGTTGGGAATCGTGTTGGATCGTAGCCGCCATACTCGGAGCCATATGCATCGGGAAATGGTGATCGACCATATGCATTGTATTTTTGTTCGTTGCTCGACGCTGTAATGCCATAGAAATCGGAATTATCCTGATAACTCGGATGCTCTTGCGACGAAAGCGTGCTATGATAGTCGTTATCATCGTAGTGTACACCTGAAGCGGCAGCCGCTGCTGCCGCAGCTGCAGCACCGGCCAGATGCGCGGGTAGACCGTAAACGGATGAAACGGAGAGATCAGCGGGATCGGTTTGGCCATTGCTGCTGCCACTGCCGAGGCTTGAATATGAGGATGTATTTTGTGTGCCAGGTTCCTCTTTCATCTGATGTTGGGTGTACAGTGCTGCGGCAGCAGCAGAATTTCGTATCGCCATTTGCATGTAATTCAAATTGGCACTATTGTTGTTGTTGTGGCTGGGGGTTTGACCGCCCGACTGGTTGGCGTTAACGCCTGGCGCGTTGCTACTCACGGCGGGATTGTTGGACTGCTGGGATTGTTGTTGTTGCTGCTGCTGTTGCTGTTGCGCATGAGAGAGCAGTGATGCATTGCTGTTCGCATTTTGCGATTGTTGTTGCTGCTGCTGCTGCTGCGTTTGCGGGGGCGGGCTGTTGTTACTATGATCGTGCGGATTACTACTGTAGCCTGGAATTAAGAAAAAGTAGAATGTTATTCTATTATCTACAAATGTATCCGCATAAATATGTTTGCACAAGGAATAAGAAAAGTATGAAAATGTTAGTGGAAGTGAATAAGGAAGAAGGGAATATTTTAAGTAACAGTATTTGCGAATCCGAAATTCAGAATTAGGCGATGCTCGAAGGTTTTATTTTGGACTAGTTATCTCTGTGCTTCTCAGGCTTGAAACCAATACACTTGCCATAACAATCGCAAGAGTTCTTAAATCTAAATATACCTTAACAAAACAAAACGGCTTAAACACATTTCGATTGACAACTACTTATGTAAGTACGTACATTTGTACATACGTATGCATATTGAAAAGTTTTAAAGTTTTTTTTAGCAGATGGCAACCCTCTTTAAGAACATTTTAGAAGTAACGCTTTCTTAAACCTCCCGCGCTTGGCACCCATATTAGAATATTTCATGAAACCTTTTAATTGAACTTATTTGGAATTTTTAAACAGGCTAGGTACATTTTAGTCGGGTTTGCTATATTTTTGCCTACAAATGAAATTTATTGAGTGGCCACACTGATCTACACTAGCACTAAATATACTGTATGAAATAAGCTGTAAGCCACTGCAATTGCCCTGAACTTATTTCCAGGCACTGTATAAAATATTAAAATGGTTAGTGCGTTGAAAGTTAAAAAATGCTCGTGAAAAAGTTGAATGGTCAGGTATAGGGTTAAACAAGTTATTTTTTCTCTCAACTAAAGTAAAACGCACTGAAATGCCCACTAATACAAGAATACATAAAATTACACAACTCTATGCAAATCATATTTATTTTTGCACTGAACTACTCAAACGCAAGCGCAGAAAAATAAATAGTAAACAGAAAAAAAATCAAGCTGCAGCAGCCAGATTCCTCAGAAGGCGTGACCATCATCCAATCGTCTTATCTTCAATACGCCACTTCACATACAATAACAGCCCATATAGTGACTTCGATGAAATTCGAAAACCAATCAAAATTCAACTCATCACCAATACAAAAGCACAAGAAAATAAAATGAGCTCCAACTGTAGCCAAAACAAAAACAAAAAGTCTTTATAAATATGTATGAATGGACATACCTACATATGTACATACATTTAGTTTGAGCAAAGCAAATGAATCGGGTGATTGCCACTGGGAGTATATGAGTGTAAATGGGGTTGTGTACGTGTATGAGAAGAGCGTACTGCTCCAACTGTGCTCCAACATACGCTACCTAGGCAACTGCACTGAAATTATGGAAATAGAGATATGTAGTTATAGGCGAGCGAGAGTTCATTCATTCATTACAAAGCGCGCACATTTGAGCGGGAACAATGTGAAATAAATATACACACTTTACGTTTACAAAAAGTTAACCACAATCTGGGTATGACTATATACAGATACATATGTATATTAGGCATTTGACTTTTTTGTAATTGAATGTACATTAGGGTGGTCCAAAAATAGTAAATTCGAAATTGTAATGCTCTCACCCCTAGGATTGTTCTAAAACGAAAAAAATATACCCATATTTTTTAGTTTGAAATAAAAAAAATTTTTAGAGGTCGCTCAAAGTGCTCAAAGTTTTCCATGTATTTTATACGTGAAAAATAAAATTTTTCGTAGACATGGTATCGAATTGATTTATTTTGGAACGAATTTCCGTCATCCCTTGTCAAGTTTGGTTTGCAGACAAACCAGTTTCGGCATTGCGCCATCTTCAGTATAATTTTTCGTTCTGGTATAGAATTCTTGAAAATCAATATTTTTGGATCGGAAAACTCTGTTTCTCTTCAGGAGACTTTCAATAATAATAACCAATTGCTTATTTAACTATTTTCTAATAATAACGATTTTTTATTGGTCGCCCCATTGCATCTTTCGGGGTTTTTGGCAGACATATAAATTATAGTTGCGATGGAAAAATGGTTAAATAAACAATTGGGTGTTATTGTTGGGATTCTCCTTCAGATAAACAGAGTTTTCTGGTAGAAAAATATTGATTTTTGATATTCTATACCATTTCTACGAAAAGTTGTTTTTTTCCCCATATAAAATACATGGAAAATTTTGGTCGCTTTGAGCGACCTCTAAATATTTTTTGATTTCAAAGTAAAACAAGTAGGAAAGTCTAAGTTCGGGCGGAGCCGAACATTAAATACCCGGCGCAAATATTAAATATATGTTTTTCACCTCTCCGAAAGCTACCGCTGCATGGTAAGCCAGTGTGTTTAAATTTTGAGTAAATTAGCATCCTTAAATTTCGAAATATTGAAGTTTCAAGCATTTCTAAAATTTACCGTTATGAAAAGCCGTAATTTTAGTCCGATTTCATTTTGAACGTTTTGCTATTGTGTGGCATNACCCATATTTTTTAGTTTGAAATAAAAAAAATTTTTAGAGGTCGCTCAAAGTGCTCAAAGTTTTCCATGTATTTTATACGTGAAAAATAAAATTTTTCGTAGACATGGTATCGAATTGATTTATTTTGGAACGAATTTCCGTCATCCCTTGTCAAGTTTGGTTTGCAGACAAACCAGTTTCGGCATTGCGCCATCTTCAGTATAATTTTTCGTTCTGGTATAGAATTCTTGAAAATCAATATTTTTGGATCGGAATCTCTTCAGGAGACTTTCAATAATAATAACCAATTGCTTATTTAACTATTTTCTAATAATAACGATTTTTTATTGGTCGCCCCATTGCATCTTTCGGGGTTTTTGGCAGACATATAAATTATAGTTGCGATGGAAAAATGGTTAAATAAACAATTGGGTGTTATTGTTGGGATTCTCCTTCAGATAAACAGAGTTTTCTGGTAGAAAAATATTGATTTTTGATATTCTATACCATTTCTACGAAAAGTTGTTTTTTTCCCCATATAAAATACATGGAAAATTTTGGTCGCTTTGAGCGACCTCTAAATATTTTTTGATTTCAAAGTAAAACAAGTAGGAAAGTCTAAGTTCGGGCGGAGCCGAACATTAAATACCCGGCGCAAATATTAAATATATGTTTTTCACCTCTCCGAAAGCTACCGCTGCATGGTAAGCCAGTGTGTTTAAATTTTGAGTAAATTAGCATCCTTAAATTTCGAAATATTGAAGTTTCAAGCATTTCTAAAATTTACCGTTATGAAAAGCCGTAATTTTAGTCCGATTTCATTTTGAACGTTTTGCTATTGTGTGGCATGCACAATAACCATACCGAGTTTGGTAGAAATTNAAACAAGTAAGAAAGTCTAAGTTCGGGCGGAGCCGAACATTAAATACCCGGCGCAAATATTAAATATATGTTTTTCACCTCTCCGAAAGCTACCGCTGCATGGTAAGCCAGTGTGTTTAAATTTTGAGTAAATTAGCATCCTTAAATTTCGAAATATTGAAGTTTCAAGCATTTCTAAAATTTACCGTTATGAAAAGCCGTAATTTTAGTCCGATTTCATTTTGAACGTTTTGCTATTGTGTGGCATGCACAATAACCATACCGAGTTTGGTAGAAATTGGTAGAACGGTTACCGAGGTACATATATGTGATCATAAGTGGGCGGTGCCACGCCCATTTTCCAAAATTTTATCATAAACGTATTTCTTGGTAAAGAATTGTTGCAAGCGTCAATTTTGAATAAATCAGCTTTAAAATTTACTGATTTATCGAAGATTTCGTATTTCTCTAAATTACCCTTATATGGAATGTGGGCGTGATTATTGCCCGATTTTAAAAATTTTCGGCCATTTGCTATGCTGTGCCAAGGCCAACAACTGCGCCAAGTTTGGAAGAAATCGCTGCAGCGGTTGCCAAGATATACACATGTAACCATAAGTGGGCGTGGCTACGCCCATTTTTCAAAAATTTATAATATTCTTATTTTTTGTCTAAAAATGATTGTAAATATCAATTTTTCCGATTTTGCCCATTTTCAATACCATCCGTCCTACGCCCGAAAGACAGATGGACGGACATACGGACGGACGGACGGACGGACAGACAGTCACCGCTTAATCGATTTCTCTTTTCATTCTGATCATTTATGTATACATTTGTCTATATCTATCTCGATTCGTTTTGCCTGTTACAAACAACCGTTATGTGAACAAAGTTATAATACCCTTGTGCACAAATGCGCTCGGGTATAAAAATAAGGGTATACTTTTTTTCGGTATAGAACATCCTAGGGGGTGAGAGCATAAAAATTACGACTTTACTTTTTCCACATGAATTTTAGGATCATCCTAATGTGCATACGAGGAGAGGATGGCGAGTGATGAAAATCTAACAAAAATAACGTTTTCGTCAAAATTTGGTACAAAAAGTGCCCAAGTTTTTGGTTGACTTGAAATTTTTCATATTTGCATACATATTAGGGTGTTCGAATATACGTCTTTTTTCCTAACCCGGTTTTCGAGTTATTCGAAAAATTGCAATTTGAGGAAACCGATTCCCGATTTTGAAATTAAGAAAAAATCGGATAAACCGGTTTTATTTTACATAGATTTCATGCAATGAAAATGCTTATGTGGTTATGAAGTCAAGACCAAAAATTACAATAAAACTTTTAACAGTCAGGATAGCTTTTATTTAGGAAAGAGCAAACAAAATAAGTTCAAAGTTGTTGGCCTTATTCATGGGGAAATTATAAACAGGTGTAGTAAAATAAAATAGCTTTTTCGCTTTATTTTCTTAATATTCGGCTATCTTATAGAAATTTTTAAAGGTCAAGACATTTTTTCAAAATTTTTCTTTTTCATGAAGAAATATTCCTAGAGCTTCTAGATGCATTTCTGCATCACAAATTAAATTTTGATAAAAATGTCGCTTACGTTATTTTGGCGATTAGATTAAAAAACTAAAACCTCCCTATTATAATTGCCATTCGTACTGTCATCAGGTATTTAACTTGAGAATAGAAAACGCTGCATCTTTTAGGCGCATCAATATTACATAGTTACACCCCGAGCTAATAAAAGGAAGGTAAA